GTGAGGTCGTAGATACATAAAGTGTGCTAGTAGAGGTCGTAGATACATAAAGTGTGCCAGTAGAGGTCGTAGATACATAAAGTGTGCTAGTAAAAGTCGCAGATACATAAAGTGTGCTAGTAGAGGTCATAGATACATAAAGTGTACTAGTAGAGGTCGTAGATACATAAAGTGTACTAGTAGAGGTCGCAGATACATAAAGTGTACAAGTAGAGGTCGTAGATACATAAAGTGTACAAGTAGAGGTCGTAGATACATAAAGTGTACTAGTAGAGGTCGTAGATACATAAAGTGTACAAGTAGAGGTTGTAGATACATAAAGTGCACTAGTAGAGGTCGTAGATACATAAAGTGTACTAGTAGAGGTCGTAGATACATAAAGTGTGCCAGTAGAGGTCGTAGATACATAAAGTGTGCTAGTAGAGGTCGTAGATACATAAAGTGTACTAGTACTGGTCGTAGATTCATAAAGTGTACTAGTAGAGGTCATAGACTCATAAAGTGTATTAGTACTGGTCGTAGATTCATAAAGTGTACTAGTCCTGGTCGTAGACTCATAAAGTGTACTAGTAGAGGTCATAGACTCACAAAGTGTACTAGTAGTGGTCGTAGATACATTAAGTGTACTAGTAGAGGTCATAGACTCATAAAGTGTACTAGTACTGGTCGTAGATTCATAAAGTGTACTAGTCCTGGTCGTAGACTCATAAAGTGTACTAGTAGAGGTCATAGACTCATAAAGTGTACTAGTAGAGGTCGTAGATACATTAAGTGTACTAGTAGAGGTCATAGACTCATAAAGTGTACTAGTACTGGTCGTAGATTCATAAAGTGTACTAGTAGTGGTCGTCGATACAAAAAGTGTAGTAGTAGAGGTCATAGACTCATAAAGTGTACTAGTACTGGTCGTAGATACATAAAGTGTACTAGTACTGGTCGTAGATTCATAAAGTGTACTAGTCCTGGTCGTAGATTCATAAAGTGTACTAGTCCTGGTCGTAGATACATAAAGTGTACTAGTACTGGTCGTAGATTCATAAAGTGTACTAGTCCTGGTCGTAGATTCATAAAGTGTACTAGTCCTGGTCGTAGATACATAAAGTGTACTAGTACTGGTCGTAGATTCATAAAGTGTACTAGTCCTGGTCGTAGATACATAAAGTGTACTATAATAGTAATGGTTTCTCTATGTTTGTTGATCTCATAAGCTCGATGCGTACTACAGGGTACACCCATCCTTTTTTCCTCTTCCATATTTCCTTTATCATTCGGCCATTGAAATAAAACTACTGTATATATAATTTTAGAGCAGAATATTTGTGTTCTTCAATGACCACATCCATTCTATGGTGTGTTACTGGAAGTTATAAATAACGAAAATTATCTAGAATGTTCTTATTTTCTTCACAGTCGACAGATGCTAATGTCACAAATCACTTTTGTGGTAATTCTGTGTACTCACTTACACAAGGCAGAGATGTAACATATATATATATATATATATATATATATATATATATATATATATATATATATATATATATATATATATATATATATATATATATATATATATATATATATATATATATATATATATATACACTCGTATATATACTTGTATTTATAATAATGATAATTGTAAACTTTTTACTTTTTTTACTCTTATCCTCTTCGCCACTGATCGGCTTGTTAGCCGCTTGGGCGATCGGTCACGTCTCTTTTCCTTTATATTCTTCACCAAAAGGTCGGCTCGCTAGCCGCCCGGGCGATCGGTCACGTCTCTGTCACGCACTGTTGGCAGATACTGGGCATGCACCGGCTCCTGAATGTACCTGAACCCGCTCCAGTGTTGGTCAAGTCTTCTCTTGAAAGAGCTCACACTCGGTGCCGTCACAACACTCTCTGGTAGATTGTTCCAAGAGTTTACAACCCTCACTCCGAAAAAGTTTGCCCTCACGGTTTTCTGGACTTGCGGCTTCTTCAATCTTGAGCTGTGACCCCTTGTGGGGCGAGCGTCCGCCAGCTCCAAGTAAGGACACTCAACTGAGTAGTGCCCCCTGAGATGCTTATAAACCTCAACTAGGTCCCCCCTTGCCCGTCTGTAGTATAAGCTAGGCAAGTTCAGGCGCTCCAATCTCTCAGGGTAGCTGAGGTGCCGAAGTGCAGGCACCAGTTTGGTGGCCCTCCTTTGAACATTTTCAACCAACTGACAGTCCCTAGCATATCTCGGGGCCCAGATGGGGTGACAGTACTCCAGATGGGGAAGCACTTCACTCCTGAAGATCGTCACGAGGGACGGACCGTCTAGATATCTGAACGACCTTCTTATAAGACCCAATAATTTATTTGCCTGATTTACCTTCTTCTCACAATGGCCCGAGAACTTCAGCTCATTGTCAACATACACACCTAGGTCCTTCTCACACACAGTCTCAACTAGTACATTTTCTTCATCCCGTTGGGACATATGGTACGCCTCCTTACCGTTGGTACGCCCCAGGTGCATCCTCTTACACTTCGTGACATTGAATCTCAGCAGCCATTCCTTCGACCATTCCTGGAGCCCACAGAGGTCCTTCTGCAGCTCTTCACAGTCCGCTTGGTTCTTAATTTCCCGAAATAACTTGGCGTCATCGGCAAACATTTGTATGGAGGAGTGTACAACGTCAGGCATATCATTTATGAAACAAACAAACAACAGCGGGCCCAATACACTACCCTGCGGTACCCCACTTGTTACAGGTACAGATGACGATTTCGTGCCATTAATCACCACACATTGCTTGCGGTCATGTAGAAAGTCTTCTATCCACGCTAGGACATTTCCCCGAATTCCGTACCCTTCCAGTTTGATTTTCAGCCTTTCGTGGGGTACACTGTCGAAAGCCTTGGCAAAATCTAGGTAAATATTGTCGATATTACCACCCCGTTCTAGAATATGGGTCCAAATATCCAATACCTTGAGCAATTGTGTCAAGCAAGAGCGCCCCGGCATAAAACCGTGTTGGCAATCTTTTACAAGGTTGTTTCGTAGTAGATGTTCCATCGCTGCATCTCTGATAATACTCTCAAGTACTTTACATATTATGCTGGTCAGGCTCACCGGTCTATAGTTGTTCGTGGAGTGCCTATCGCCCTTCTTGAAGATAGGACTCACATAAGCCACTTTCCATTCACTGGGGACCATTTGTTCATCCAGGCATTTACAAAACAGAATCTTCAGGGGCTCTGCAAGCTCGTTGCACAGCTCCCTTAGCACTCTAGGATGCACCATGTCAGGTCCAGGACTCTTATGGACCTTTAGCCTGGACAGTTTATTTCTAATACCCTCTTCTGTGAACACAATGTGGGTCAGTGTTGTGTCGAACCGTCTGTCCTCAAACGCAGGAAGGTTAGTTGCATCCTCTCTTGTGAACACTGAGGAAAAGAAGCTGTTCAATGCCTCAGCTTTATCCTGGTCAGAATCTGCGTAACTACCATCTTCAAGCCTCAGGTCTGATACTCCTACTCGCGTTTTCAATTTCGACTTTGCATAGCGGTAAAACGCCTTTGGGTTTGACTTGACCTCGCGTGCAACCAGCCTTTGGAACTCCTTTTCAGCCCTCCTACACTCTATCTTTGCTTGGTTTCTGGCTCTTGCATACATCCTCCTGTCTTGCTCATCGTTTGACCCAACCCACGTCTTGAATTTCTGGGTTTTCTTCTTAATTTTGTCGACCGCCGCATGGTTCATGTGTAGGGATCCCCTCGTATTCCTAGAAGCACTGGGTTTGGTCTTGGGTATATATTTATCGATCAAATGGGTCATTTTACTAGTTATGATATTCAGCGTAGTGTCTGCGTTCTTGTACCTTAATAAGTCAGGCCAGTTGATACCCCTCATCTCTTCCCTCATCCCATTGTAATTTCCCTTGTAATATTTGCACCTTGGCCTGGCCTTATCTTGAACTAGGTAACAGTTAAATCTGAATGACAACACTGTATGGTGACTGGTGCCAACTGGGGCAAGGTGTTCCAGTTTGGCCACCATACCCTCCTCGTTTGTTATGATGAGGTCAAGTGGCTTGGGTGTTTGCTCCCCTCTGTAATGTGTCGGGTCTCTCACATGTTGGAACAGAAAATTATCTCTCAGAGTTTCTACAAAAAGAGTAGCAGGATTATTCAAGTCATTCGGGGTGGACTCGTTTCTCCAGTCGATGTCGCCATAGTTAAAGTCCCCCATGATAAGGAGGTGGCTGGGGTTGAGCATCGCCGCATTGTTTATTAAGGTTCTTAAGTTCCTTTGATTTAGTGGGCCACAGTTCGGGATCTGTTGATACACCCGACAATAAGTAGGTCCCCTCCCTTTAATTTAATTTTACACCACTTGGACTCTTCAAAAACATCCTCTCCCTGTACCCTCGCCTGGCTGGCTCTAAGGTCTTGCCTAGCACAGATAACCACACCCCTCCTGCAGGATTCTTGAGTTAGGTTCGTAAATGAGTCATATCCAGCAATACTGAACTCACATTCCTCTGGGTCAATTCTCCTGTTCTTGTACAACAGTTCTACAGCTCCTACAATATCTGGTTGGTGTACTCTCAGTAGTGTTTCAAACTCCTCCCTCTTATCAAGGAACGTGTCAGTATTAGTGTACATGACATTCAAGCCAGAATTTGTTCTCGGTAACGTCTCTGCTCTTAGTAATAAACCCGCTCCCCCCCACATTCTCAGAAGCTACAGCATTTGCTAAGTACACTGTATTTTGCAGGGTGTGGTTAAAAATGTCATTGTTCACACGGCTCGTCCCCTTGGCTGAGCTGGTGCCTCCTCCTGGGGGGGGGGGGTTGAGTGGCAGTCATTCATAAAGTATTATATCAATGACATTTATTTTATTTTAATATCTTTGGTTAATATATAAGTATAAAATATTTGATATCATAATTTAAAAGAAATATATAAATAGTGAATGATATTATTTAATTTACTTATGAAAGTTTTGTGTTTACATATTGAAGGCAACACGTGTGAAGCTTCCCTACAGTGTGTACCGGTGGAGTGTAGGTATAGGGTGTACATGGACCTGTGTACCGGGAGACAGTGTAGGTATAGGGTGTACATGACCTGTGTACCGGGGAGACAGTGTAGGTATAGGGTGTACTGGGAGAGTGTAGGTATAAGGTGCACATGGACCTGTGTACCGGGAGACAGTGAGGTACATGGACCTGTGTACTGGAGAGTGTAGGTATAGGTGTACATGGACCTGTGTACCGGGAGAGTAGGCATAGGTGCACATGGACCTGTGTACTGGGACAGTGTAGGTATAGGGTGTACATGGACCTGTGTACCGGGAGAGTGTAGGTATACGGTGTACATGGACCTGTGTACCGGGGAGTGTAGGTATAGGGTGTACATGGTCCTGTGTACCGGGAGACAGTGTAGGTATAGGGTGTACATGGACCTGTGTACCGGGAGACAGTGTAGGTATACAGTGTACATGGACCTGTGTACCGGTGGACAGTGTAGGTATACGGTGTACATGGACCTGTGTACCGGTGGACAGTGTAGGTATACGGTGTACATAGACCTGTGTACCATGAGTATTGTGCTCGAATCCATATACGACTACAAGGGGTGACCCAAAATGCAATCCATGAGACATTAGTAGAATCCCCCCCGTCATCTCCACTACTGGCGATATCACATACAGTAGTAACACCTTTCACTGACTACTTAAACACTTTAGGTGTATAAACAATAATTGTGAACAGTGAACTTAACCAAGAATAGCTGACCAAGATGGGTTATGATTTGGGTATTATTTTGGTTTTGGTCATCTGGGGAATCTTGGGAATTTAACCCCCACCAGAAAGGTTAGATATAGTTTCTGGGTTCGGTAAAACTTCACTTGTTGCTACTATATGAAATCGAAATTAAGAATGTTATTTCGATGGTTTTTGATATGCTATGAACGAATTTGTATAGTACAGTATAGTACAGTTCCAATATAGTACAATACAGTTCCAGTACAGTACAGTATAATACAGTACAGTACAATACAGTTCCAGTACAGTACAGTGCAGTACAGTATAGTACAGTTCCAGTACAGTACAATACAGGGGTCGCATACTTGAAACCATTTACAGGACTGTATCTCTTTGTTTACCCTGTACCTGGAGTTACAGTCACCGATCGGTCTACTCAAAACAAATATTTTTCAGTGGACTCTGTAAGCGAGTCTGTATTTGAGGCCGTAACTTTCAGGACCTCCTTAGGTGCTGTAACACAGTCAACTCGGATATAGTGAGTCTCTATTTCCCGATTGCGTAACAAAAACTAATAATATCTGTTGTAATATTACTTGTTAGACTTGTTATCATAGAATAATGAAAAAAATGTTTTGTATACCAACATACTAAAATGCGATATTACATTGTGTCTTTTTAGTAAATTATTATTATTATTATTTTTTTGACGAGAAGAAGAGGCTTGAGTGTTCCTATTTCTCGCTGAATGGAAGAGACTCACCTTTTGTCTTCTTACAACTTATCAAGTAATTTGTACCAAAATAGAAGATTTATATTGTCCACATTTATGGAACAAATATTTTTTATGACTGAGTAAACTTGCAGATAGACCTTATTAATGTGGTATAGCTGTAAATATCCTTCAGTAATGAAATCCAAATACGAGGTCATGTGAACATTCTTACCTAAACTGTTCCTTCTTGGTATGGCTAGGACCAAGTTATAACAAGCTATTCTGCCAAGTACCAAACACGGACCCATGACCTCAGAGTTAAATAATACCTCACCCAATAAAAGTTTATCAAACCTAATAAATAACGGGGTAAAAATTAACAGTAGTACAGCAATTTTTTTAGAAAAAGAATTAATGTTATAGGTTTTTTATCCGATACATTCAGTAGTGGTTTGTTGCTGTAAAATTAACGAAATGTATTTTACCCTAACAAAACCTAACCTAACCTAAACCTTACCTTATCTAATGTAACCTAACATTACCCTACCTAACCTAACCTAACCTAACCAAACCAAAGAAAGCACATGACAAACAATTAAGTTCTCTAGAAAAATTTCAATTTCTTTTTAAAAAATACATTTACAGAGATAACAAACTTTTTATAATAATTTCTCCAACGTATCTATAAATCTGTTGATGGTAAATAAACGTAACTTAGGGTGACACTATTATGCATTTTAACCTTTGATTATCTCTCCAAATGGTTAGGTTAGGTAAAGATTAAGTTAGGTAAGGCAAGGTTAGGTTAGGTAAAGGCAAGGTTACGTTAGGGTAAGGAACGTTTCACTGATTTTGCGACAAAAAAAGAGCCTGAATACTGATTGCATTCAACCAAAAACCTATTAAAAAATGTGATGCCACTGTTATACCATCCCTTTGGTTAACCATTGTCCTCAAGTATTACTCAAACATAATTCCATCTTCACTAATGACGCTTGAAGTACGTCAACTATCACGTTAGGTCAGGTCAGGTTTTCGAAGTTTTTTATTTTTTTTTATGCCACATTTTCCCTTATTTTTAAAGCCCTGATAACTTTAGGGAACCATTATTGTTGGTAGTGTAAGTGGTTGCATCTCCATAAATATCCGTTTCTCACAGAAATACAGATTATATTCATTCATAACAAGAAGAAATATATATAACAAAAACTTTTTGTTAACCAATTTCCCATTATGGTATAATATGAATCTTATTTCTGGGAGGTAAAAAATAATTTTATGCCACACCAAGAATTTAATAAGCAAGATAGGTTTTTCATATGTTTTTCATGGGGATTTGACCAGAAGACCAAAGCCCGAGTGTGATAACTGACTGGTGACACTTACTGGAACAGTGTGCCAGTCATGGGGACTCTAGGTCTTGTTTTCTGGCTGAGTGCCGGCAGGAGGATGACTCCTTCACCATCTCAGAAAAGGGAGGGAACCATCACTGCTATTTTCTATTGTGAGTTTGAGGCCCTACTTCTCCATAAGCCTCCTTCTCAACTCCTGAAGGTCCTCCACGTCCCTGACTCCAACCAAGATATTGTGTGTGTGTGTGTTGTAAGAAGTAGTGTGTGTGGTAAAATATTTATATATTATGGTATAAATAATATATTATAAAAATCCCAAGCTTTACAAATCCAACAACATCCGGATGCAGATGTGAAAATTTGGCAGATACTCTGCAGATGCAGATTTGACATCCATCTGTAGTACTTTCAAACTTACTGAATGTACAGTGCAGTATACATAACTATAATCACTTTTTATGTCTTAACACTGTTTTAATGGTGTTCTTGAATGGTTTTATGAGGGTACTACAGTTGTGTACAGTACTGTACAACACAGATCTTATGTAAGAACAGAAGTGTGTGAGCAAACAAACTTGTACAGTGGCGGCTGAGAGTGTTATGATGCAAGAGTTTGACTGTGGGATACATCAGACAACCATAGACTGACGTACACTGTTAAGATCACCTGTTAGACTGATGTACACTGTTAAGATCACCTGTTAGACTGATGTACACTGTTAAGATCACCTTTTAGACCAATCTAGGCTGCCTGAATGTTATTTCCCGTGGTGCTTCATTAAGAATTCCTTGTATAATTTTTGTTGTTCATGAATTATAATGTTAAAAGTTGTATATTTTTCAGAGGCCGGAAGATGGGCAGCTACGGGCAAGTAGGCTTTACCTGTGTCAAGGACCTCCTGTTCCGTGTGTACACAGATAAGGAAGTTCAGCAGATATCTGTGGTGAAGTTAACCAATGATGAATCCATTAACGAGCTGGGACACTTTGCTGCTGATGGCTTATATGACCTACGCATGGGTAAGATATTGATAGTGACAGCCGTGTGGATGATGATGACTGTGTGGATGATGGTGATGACTGTGTGGATGATGGTTATGACTGTGGATGATGGTGATGACCTGTGTAGATGATGGTGACAAGAGTGTAGATGACTGTAAATACTAACACAAGTCTATGTAATTCATTATCTAACGACCATATTTCTCACCCTCAAGGACCCATGTCAACACGTGAACGAGATGTCTGTGAAACTTGTGGACAAGATGGGCTCAGGTGTCTGGGTCATTGTGGACACATAGAGATGCCCTTACCTGTTTATAACCCCTTCTTCTATGGTGTGCTGAGCAAACTCCTCTATGGAATATGTAATCACTGCTTCAGGTTCCAAGCTCCAGGTATAGTGTAGTGTATGTTCAGTATTAAATGTAAAACAGAAGGGTTTATGTATCCTGCAGAATGTTTTGTGTTGGTTTGTAACAATTGTCTTTGCTGTGTCACTCTTCTCTTTCCTTCACACTTGGTTGGGATCAAGAAAATAACCCTTAGCTGTATCACATGTTTGTGGTTACCTCTACTGTACTGGATGTGTTTCTTGCTCTACAATGCAAAAGAAAATGAGGACCTTGTGCCTTATATATTTGTTGTCATACTGAACATGCAAAATACTGTAGAAGAAAACACACAGTATATAATGAGTACTACTGTGCTTTCGTTATTGGTAGGGCTGGTGGGTGTAGTAATGCTGCTTCCATGAGTTTCAAGGGCAGCTCTAGGTACCAGTCTTGGGGAGCGGGGCGGGGCATCCCGATTTGGCAGTATACACCAAGTTTCGTGGGTGTGTGAGGAAGATGGGTAGGGGATGGGGGCAGCGCTGGTGTAAGTTCCAGGGTGTCTACCGATGTGGACCACCTGGAAATGTCTTGTAGTTTTGTTTCTGAAGCTGGAAAAAATTAGGTTTTACTGCTATTATTACTTTAACTGTTTAAAGTATTTTCTTGAGTCAAGTGTTATTTTTTGTTGTGTTTTTATGGCAAGTGTTGGCCACACTCGCCTCACCCACAGCTTCCTTAGGAGCACTGATCTATTGTGATAACTGCCTGGTGCCACTGACTGTCAGAGTGTGCCAGTCATGGGGACTTGAGGACTTGTTTTCTGACTGAGTGCCGGCAGGTGGATGGCTCCTTCACCATCTCAGAGGTGCTCAGTGAGAGAAGTTTGGTACCTGATGGTGAACTTCTCAAACTTTTAGTTGTAATAGAAGTGTTTGACTGCTTGTGATTTTTAAATAAATACAGGGTACAGGATTTCATATTACAGTACGGTGATCCCGCTGGTTAACGAAATGTCGGTTAACGAATTACCTTCCATAAGAATATTCAATTCGGTTAACAAATTCCTTACGAATTTTTCCCAACATGTTTTCGCCTGCTCACCATCTGTAGTATTAGTCTGCCAATACAGTAATCGGTTTTAGGGCTTAAATTCGTTACCATTTGAGTAAATATCAAGAAGGTTTTACTATTCAATAATTTTCCAAGTCTTATATTAATATTTTTAGTCATTTTAGCAATTATTTAACATAATTGAAGTACAGGAAACTAAATTCTAGTGCGCCAAACAGCCACTTGACTCACCCAGCATGGCGTCAGTTTGTATCTCTGGTCAGTGGAGGTAACATCTTGCTTGTGACTCTCTTGAACATAAACTATTTTTACATTTTTACAGTACAATTATTGGTCATTCTGAAATTTATTTTACATATTGACAATATATAGTGCAGTGCAGTGTTGATTTAAAGAAAATAATCTTGAATTACACCTAGTGAACTTAAAATTTTATGGGTGAAATGGCAGAATGAAGCATGGGGTGACTTTTCTTCCACCCCCACTTCCTTCTCTTCTCCCTTCTCGTCCACCCCCACTTCTAATTCCCATCATCATCATCCAGGAGCCTTCTACATACACACCTCAAAGTAAGTGTACTGTACTGCATTTTTTTTTTTTTTTTACTTTGTATGTAATTTTTGGTGAGCTGGAGCCAATTACCCAAAATCCCATTGAAACAATGGTTTCGGTGAACAAAATTTTCGGTTAACGAACGACCTTCTGGAACGAATTGTTTGTTAACCGAGGGATCACTGTATTTTAACTTTGATATTTAAACTTAATATGATCTTATTTTATGTATAATACTGTAGTTTTAAATTATGAGTTTCATTTTATTTACCGTGTCATAGTTTTAAATAATGAGCTTAATTTTTGGTATCAAATGGCCACAGGCGGCAACTCTAGATTTTACCGAACTAATCGATCAATCTTCTTTTTCTTTATATTTCTGTAAACTAATTGTTCTTTTGTCATCTGAAATAATGTTCGAAAGTGAGGAAGTGAAAATTAGTGGATTGATCAGTTTAATAATTAAAATATTACACAGAAAATATATCAGGGTTGGCTGATTTAAACCAATGGCTTAAACCCCCCAAAAAACTTCTTCTTTTTTTTCTGTCCTTTATCTCGGTTTTAATAAGTTTTTGTTTGTTTTTATTACTTAAAGAAAATTTTAATGATTTATAGAAGATTCAGAAAAGGCGTGTGATAGGGTGAAGAGAAAAGCAATGTGGGAGGCATTACAAGTTTATGGGGTGGGAGGAAGGCAACAGTAAGAGTAAATGGGAATGAAACATTTGAAATATATGTGGGTGTTAGACAGGGGTGTGTTATGCCCTTGTTAGACATGGATGTGAACTGTTATACACTGGTGATAATAAGCTTTATTACAGGGCTGTTTATAAGGGAGCTAAGCTGGCACTGTTCAGTATAACTGGTGACAGCTTATGGTTGGCCTCTGATCATGTATTATATAGGGAGCCACTGCCTATCTCTCTCTCTCTTCAACTGTATTTAAATTAATTCTGTAAAACTTTTGACCATAATAGTACAATGTTTTTTCCATGCATTAAGAAGAGTCTGTCTGCCTGATCAAAGCTTGTCTTGTGTTTAAAGAGTTTAAATCATCCTCATTGTAATATTTATGATTAAAAGGTTATAAAAGGGGCTACAATTACTTAAAACTTATTAAAACCAACATAAAAGCATTAAACCAATTTTTTTTTTTAACAATGGTTTTTGCAAACCCAGATTTGTGAAGGTTACTCTTTGCTGTTTATGTGTTATTCTGGATGTACTTAAGTACAGTAGTTAGACACAATAAATTTCAACTCTGGCATAAAAGGTGTTTTGGCCTAAAATTCTACAGTATAAGGGGTAAAGCTTACCATAATCTTAATCTCACCGATTTTTCCAAATCTCAATATATATGCCCCTGAACATGCTGATTAAGGATCTCTTGTCCACAATTTGATATCTGTATAATTACATGTCCAAATAATATCTGAAAAATTTTAAATTATTTTTCTAACCTCAATTACCCACAGCCTATGTTTTATTTTTCTAATTATAAATTTCTATTAAGCAATGAATTGAGTTCACTTTCATCTGGGAGTCAGACTGGCGACCAGTAGTTATGACTCATAACTTCCTGAACGCTCTCCACTTCACCGGTCGTGCTGAGGGGGCAGGGCATAGCTGTCACATTAATTTGATTGTAATATAGTCTAGGGTATGAATGAGTTTTAGTTAACAGGTGTACAATAAATGTGATTTCAACAAGAGTCAAGAGCATTCCCAGATGCCCTCACAGGCTGATGTAGCATGTGTGGTGGTGACACGGTGTAGTGTAGATGAAATTATAAAGATGTTTTTGTACAGTTTGTAATAAAATCTCTTTTTGCTTTCAGATTACCGAGTGATACAGCTCTTATACCAAAGTAAACTGCTGGATGAAGGGTATGCAAAGGAGGCCCTGAATGTAAAGGATACAGTGGCTAGAATCACATCACATGGAGATGAGTCGCAGGAGGTCAGTTCATGTATCTTTTTACTCATTAATGTGTGTTACTATGTTGCAGTACTGTACATGTTGGTTTATGTACAGGTGCACTTTTTTGGTGTTATACAATGTGACACAACAGACCAAGAATTCTGAACAATACAGGTTTTAGGTGTATTCCTTCAGTCCTTGACACCTGGACTGAAAAAAAAATTCATGTGTGACCGCTACAAGACCCAGGTGACTCCAGCGACCTCATGTTATCTATGACACCCCTTACAATGCTGTGTTGTGAACCACTGACTCTAGACAGTGCTGGTATACAAACAATGTACCTACACAGTGCTGGTGTACAATGTGCCTACACAGTGCTGGTGTACAATGTACCTACACAGTGCTGGTATACAGTGTGCCTACACAGTGCTGGTATACAATATACCTACACAGTGCTGGTGTACAATGTACCTACACAGTGCTGGTATACAAACAATGATAAACAGTAAGTTGACAGGTTGGTACATGCACCACTTGGTTCTGTGACAGTAATACTGTATGCTACTTCTGACAGATATCAACTGGCATCAACGACAGAGTCATCAGGGGAAGTCTGAAGTCCTATGAAAATGTGGAGTTAATGCAGATCCTTAGTGAAACACTGAAGAAATACTGCAAGGAAGTGATGAAAGGTAATTTTGTGCTCTTGTATGTATGCCTCCCGAAAGTTGGGAATGCTGTACGGATGCTGTAGCTACTTCACTCCTGAGCAGTTGCTTCAAGAATATAAGGGATTCATTCATCCTAACTTGGAGTACTGCTCTCATATCTGGGGTGGTTCTTCTTCTGTCCAACTATTAGATAGGGTGGAATCAAAGGCATTTCGTCTTATTAACTCTCCTCCTTTAGTCGACAATCTCTCTTCCCTTTCTCTTCGCCGCAATGTTGCTTCACTCTCTCTCTTTTACAGGTACTTTAACGGGCAATGTTCGGTGGATTTTGCATCCTGTGTACCGCTGGCAAGGCCGTGGGCTCGTAACACTCGTCTTGCCCACGGTCTCCGCCGTTTCTCTGTGGCTGTCGGTCACACTAGAATAACCCGTTATAGTACATCCTTCTTTCCTCACACAGCCAAACTGTGGAATGCTCTGCCTTCTTCTGTGTTTCAATACTTATACAATCTGTCTCACTTTAAAAAGCTGGTTTTCCGGCATCTTCGTGGTGTAGATTAACACAGTATAACCTTTTTCTTCTCTATTTTTAATTTCTTTCTCTTTGACCTGTGCCCGGGTGGGCTAATTCCCGCAAAAAAAAAAATATGTACAGTGCAGGTATAAGTATGTAGTCCCCGGAACTCTCCAAAAGCCAAAATTGAATTCAGGCGTGAATTTTTTCCGTAAACTTGTCCCCAGGTGGCAGGTACTACGGTACTGTGCTAACACTGGAGGATAAAACAAAGTGTTGAGAACAGACTGGGTGACCAAATGGCTAAGTGACTTAATAAATGTTGGGAATGATAAATCAGTGTTTTGTCTCAACATGACAACTTTGTTTCTTGACAGAGCTCCATCCTTGTATACATTATCACAGATGAGCTTCATTAATTTATCTTCCGATATGTTAATCCAAGTTGCTAATTTGCAGGAGGAACAAGCAGTCACGAAACCTCTACTTCTAATGTTAAAGCCGTCCAAGATCAGGTCATCAAAAGTTTTTTCGACGATTGTAAGGCGAAATTATCCTGTAAATTCTGTAGACGTCCCCTAATGAAGCTGTCCCTTAAAAACTCACGCTTTATGAAGGCAACTATAAAGATGAAGCTGAAAAAGTCCAAATCTGATGATGAGGAGGAATCTGTGTCATCTGGCCTTGTGGTGGATGGCCAGTCTTACATCACCTGTGACCAGGTAATAGTCTATGCATTCTTTTGTTATAAATATTTGGTATATGATGGTGGGTCATGGAGGGTCATAATGAGACACGTGCCATTACCAAAATTCTGACCGATGTCGATGCTCATCCTAAAGCCGATACCTATACCGATACTTTCTAGTAAGCTATCTTTCTAAAATTATCAAACAGTCTTTTTGTGATGAGCATTTCCCATAGCTGAAGCACTTGAGTATCTACAAATTTTTCGAATTCAGAATATTGAGCACTTAACAGTAGCTGCAGAGAGGTACAAGTAAATGTATAACTGCTCATCCTCTCCCATGTCAGTGTCAGAGGTTTGTGTCCACTGTTATGTGAGCTACTGAGCTTCCTAGATGTCAACAGGATCCCAACATTCACCAGGACTGGACAGGAGTATCTACTTACCAGTTGGTGTGAATCATTGCTTAGTGCCACAGTCTTAATTTTCATTTGTTAATTTAACTTATTAATTTAGGCTCTTGTTCATTACACATATACTGTACTTTGCTATTTATTAAAACTTGTTATGCTGTTAATAGCTCTATGTTGACAACTCTGTTTCTCAGTCACACTTGTGGGTTGTACAGTTAACAGCTTGTGATTAATTTATATGTAGTTGTGTACAGTATGTTGATCTAGAACTTTAATATTGTGACTACTGTACTGTCTAATCTTGAGTCTTAACTCTTTATTCTTATAAGTTTATTATCAGTTTTACTTGTTATTAGTATTCAATATACAGTAAAACCTTGATAAATTGGACTTCAGTATATCGGAATTCAATTTTTTCTGACTCTTGAGATGATCTGGTCGCCAAAGATACTTAAAAAAGGTTTTAAGAAATGGGGAAGACTAATAAAAAATATCTTATGAAATGAACAACACTTACTGAATACTGTACAGTGGTCTAATGAGATTTACTATAGGCCTACTGAGAACTAAGTCACCTGAGTATGTAGGTCAGGTTTATTTATTTATTGATTCAGTATTATATTCTCATATGATTGGCCTCTTATGGTTCATCATGATTAATATAACATCTTCAGTAATAGAGAAAAATTATAATGCTGTATGTAATTTGTAAAATGACTCGAAAATAAAGGATAAGCTGTATCAGAAGGTTGTTGACTCAAGATGCGTTCATGTGAGAACTTTCAACAGACTAACTTACAACAGGGGTCACTATAACATACTTTGAAGTATTTGATATGAAGATACCTTCTTAAAAATGTTATTTACTACCTTTGAGTGTTATATACGTAAAGGCTCAATTTGGCTACTTGTACACTTAGACCAAGGATTAATGAATAAATCTGGGTATATGCAGATGCATAATACAGTAGACCCTTCCCATTTGCGGGTTTACACTTCGCGATTTCGACGATTTGCGGTAAGCAGCAGGTGGCTCGGGTGGCGAGCATGCGAGCCTTTTCCCTCAGCACAATGAGTCACCCCACACACCCGTGGCATCTCATCTCTCTCTCTCTGTTTGCCCTCGCCCAGTACCTGTGACCCAGCATCCCGTGTCATACAGTGAGTTCTTCTATAACGCGTGTTTTGTCAACGCGTGTTGGCTGTAACACGATTCCACTCGAACGGTTTAAGTGTACGTATACAGTATTGGCGCTGGGTTATGCAGTGTGTTTTGTTTGTGAAGAATTGCAACCTCAGGTGCATTTCCTGCCAAGCTAAAGAAAATATTAGAAGAGAAAGGCTATAGACCTGAGCAAGTGTTTAATGCTGATGAATCTGTTCTATACAGGTATTGGAAGAAAATGCCTGGTAGAACAATCATAAACAAGCAGGAGAGGCGTTCAAGGCAGCCAATGACAGAGTGACACTCATCTGTGGCAATGCAGCTGGCCACATGATCAAGCCTGGCTTGCTTTACTGCTCAGTCCAACAAAAAGGCATGGGTAACTGTGCAAGCATTCCTGGACTGGTACCATAAATGCTTCGTCCCGGAAGTGGAAAATTACCATGTTTCCTAGAACATAGAATTTAAGGTGTTATTATTGATAGACAATACACCAGACCACCCAGAAAATTTACAGTTTACCCATCCAGGTGTAGAGGTGGTGTTCCTACCCCTTAGCACCACTGCTCTCATCCAGCCACTCGATCAGGGTGTAATACACACCTTCAATACATATTATACACGCCGCTCTCTTGGCTGTATCTGTAGTGCCATGGATGAAGACCCTGACCTTGATGTTAGTAAGTGTTGGAAGGAGTTTAGCATTGTGGACTGTATTACCAACATCAGTGAAGCATTCAATGAACTTAAACCAAAGACAGTGAATGGTTGTTGGTGCATCCATAGTAAAGGATGTGAATGACATTGTGAGTGTTGCACATCAGTTGGATGGTGAGGGGTTTGTGGACATGGCTGCTGAAGACGTGGAAGAGCTGATTGATGGGCATGGAGAGGAACTGACAGAAGAGGATTTGGAAGAGTTGGTAAAAAGTGCTGAGGAAGAGGAAGACATTATGGAATTACAACAAGAAGGTTGGAGCTTGGATAATATTGGTGAACTATTTCGTCAGGTAAAGATGGTGAATGATTTCATTGTTGACCACGGACCCTTCCATGGAACACAGCCTTAAGATGTTCCGAGGAATGAATCGGACATTGTCTCCCTATCAGGAAATGTTTAAAGACCATGTTTATCAAGAAAGAACCAGTTACTTCCATTGCTGCTCCACCCTCCTCCTCTCAGCCACCCTCCTCCTCCCAGCCACCCTCCTCCTCTCAGCCACCCTCCTCCTCTCAGCCACCCTCCTCCTCCCAGCCACCCGCCTCTCCACCAACCACCACTGCATCACCCTCTTCCACCAGTGATCCACCTATGCTTCAGTAACCAGATGTCTCCCTATGTACAGTACACCACTCCATCAAGCTCCAGGCTCCCACATGTAAGCACAGTATTGTGACTTAAGTCTCTCATACATACTGTACCTGCATATTAGTGTACTGTACAGTGGTCCCTCGGTTAACAAACGCTTCGGTTAACGAAATACCTTCCATAAGAATCTTCAATTCGGTTAACGAACAAAAATTTGATTAACGAAATCCTTACGAAAATCACGTTTTGTTTTGAACATCAGCTGAGGGGGTATATTCGTTTACAATGGAGTAAATATCAATAAAGTTGTGCTTTATAATATTTATGCATGTTTTCTATTAAAATTATTAGTCATTTTAACATTTATTTAACATATTGATAATATATGCAGTACAGGGAACTAGTAAGTTGTGCACTCATCAGATGCATGGGTTGGCCACCAGGTGTCAGTCTGGCTTTGTTTACAATCAAGAGAGAGCAACTATTTTGTTGGTGTCTTGAATATTTTTGCATTTTTCATTGAAATTATTGGTCATTCTGAACTTTAGTTAACATATTGATAATATATAGTGCAGTGCAGTGTGATTTAAAGAAAATAATCTTGAATTACACCTCGTGAACTTAAAATTTTATTGATGAAATGACGTCATCATGCATGGGTCCCCTGAAAGGTGATTTCTCCTCCATCCCCACTTCCTTCTCTTCTCCCTTCTCCTCCACCCCCACTTCTAATTCCCATCATCATCAACCAGGAGCCTTCTACATACACACCTCAAAGTAAATGCACTTTAGTGCATTTTTTTTATACTTTGTATGTACTTTTCGGTGAGGTGGAACCAATTACCCAATATCCCATTGAAACAATGGATTCGGTTAACAAAATTTTCGGTTAATGAGCGACCTTCTGGAACGAATTGTGTTCGTTAACCGAGGGACCAGTGTACTAAGGTATTATATAAGTGGCTATTCGCAGTTTTGCCAATTTGCGCCATTTCTTGGACCCTATCCCTCGCAAATGGCAAGGGTCTACTGTACAATATTACTTATTAAGTGGTGATGAATACACTACAATAGTATTTATTAAGTGGTGATGAATACACTACAATAGTTTTTATTAAGTGGTGATGAATACACTACAATAGTATTTATTAAGTGGTGATAAAAACACAACTGTACTGCACTAATTTACTAAGTGTTGAAGACAGACATTGTGGTAAGCCAATCAACTGTTTGCCCTTTGTAAACAAATGACTCGTAGTGTTTAGCGTGGGATTCTTTTAAGATAATATTTTATCAACCTGGCACCAGATGATCCTAAATTCTATGAGAATTGTGGTGATATTGCATAAAGAAGTGTTAAAGGAATCTTGTGGGAGAGAGGGAGCCTCTCCTCTGCTTCACATATAATATACTTCTACACTTATTTGTTCTTGTTTTTATCTTTATAGTACTGTACAGTTTACAGTTTTCTCTTTATTCATAAGACAAATTCTGTGGTTACTAACATAAAGTGGTCCCTCGGTTAACGAACGCCTCGGTTAACGAATTACCTTCCATAAGAATCTTCATTTCAGTTAACAAACAAAAATTCGGTTAACGAAATTCTTACAAAAATGTTTTGACATGCTTCGGCTTGCTCACCAGCTGTAGTACAGGTTGTACCTCTCTAGTCCGGCAACCTCGGGACCTGACCGGTGCCGGACCATGGAAATTGCCGGACCATGGAAATTGCCGGACCATGGAAATTCACCCTTTTCCTGGATAGATAGTGACTTGTGCTTATGCTTAGAAGCACTAGCACCACTTTCTCTGCATTTTGACGGCGGAAACTTGAATTTTGACGGGTTTGAACGGCCCGCCAACGTGCAGATGACGGGCATAATCGTGTAAACAGCGTCATTTCTCTTATGTACAAAAGATTCATTATTGTTTATTACTGAATGTCTTTTTTATTGAATTAATGTTTATGTGTGCAAAATGAGCAATACAATTCATTAATAATACGTAGAATATTAAAACACACGAGGAAATGACACAGCATTGTTTTTGTTGATTACAAAACCAGTGACTGACTGGTTCTACATATAAAACTGAAGAAAATAAGACTTTGGTTGTAGCTGTAGTAAAATTAATATGGTTGTTTTAAGTAATGTTATTTAATGTTAATAAATGGAAATAAATGGAACAATAGAAGTAGCTAACGATAATGGTAAAGAAAAAAGAGATCGCGTATGTAAGTGGGCATGCGAACACGTGAAAACATATCGTCATTACTTTACATAAGAATATGAAAGCAACACTTATTTACTGTTCATATATATTTTAATTTATGTTTCTGAATTTCTTTTTATTGAATTAATGTTTGTGTGTGCAAAATTAACAATACAATTTATTAATAATACGTGGAATATTAGAGGAGACGAGACGGCTGCCGGCATTGTTTATGTTAAAGCTTACGAAACCAGTGACTGATTGGTTCTACATATAAAATGGAAGAAAATAAGACCCTGGTTGTAGCTGTAGTAAAATTAATGTAAAAAATGAATATGGTTGCTTAAAGTACCTGTAATGTTATTTAATGTTAATAAATGAAACAATATAAGTAGCTAACCATTAATGGTAAAAAAAAAGTGAGACTGCTCGTATGTAAGTGCGCACATGTGAAAATATATCGTCATTACTCTACATAAGAATATGAAAGCAACACTTATTTACTGCTCATATATATTGAAGGGTTAAATGTTGTACTCTGTATAGACAAGCAGAGAGAGAGAGAGAGAGCAACCGAACTGCCGGATGTAAACAAACCTTAATTTCCCGCGGCTTTTTTTTTTAAGGGGATTAGCCCACCCGGGAATAGGTCACTGACCCACATTAGGGCCTGAGGGGCAAAAATTTAATACTCCTGTAATAATAATAATTCAGATAAGTAAAAAAAAAAGAAAAAAAAAGAAGCTGCCTATCTACCTATTGGACAAACTAAAATCGTTCCGGACCACGGGAGTTTCCGGACCACAGAATGCCGGACTAGAGAGGTACAACCTGTACTATTACATTTTCACCCCCTAGGCCCCGATGTGGGTCAGTGACCTGTGCCCGGGTGGGCTGTTACCCAAAACCAAAACAAAAACAAAAACAAAAAATAAAATTGCTCCACAAAAAAACATTCTGTTTTCAGAGCTTTTCGGTTTTTGGAATTTCGGATAAAGGGTTGTCAACCTGTATATATATATATATATATATATATATATATATATATATATATATATATATATATATATATATATATATATATATATATATATATATATATATATATATACAGTAGTACCCCGATTTACCAGGTCAATTGAACCCACAGGGTACCGCAGAAAGTGAAAACCGCGTAAAGTGAACAACAGAACATATGGGATTAATTCCAATAGAGACTGGCCCGACCCCCAAACTCCACTTTTTCCGACACAATACCTATGTTGTAGTAAAAATAACATCTAAATTTTATGATGGTATGCTCACACAATTAATATTTAAGAGAAATACAGTCGCCAGGTTAATGTCCATTCAAATAATGGACTCAAATCCCCCCCCCTCTTCCCAGCTCACTGGCCCCTACCTCTCTGAGAAATGATTGGGTGAAACACTAGATTTTAACGTTTAGTAATAAATAATACCTCAGACTAAAGTTAGGATAATATAATTGACATTTCTGGATTCCTTGCAGGTCAGGGAATATTTTGAATGTAAACTTCATATATTTTGCACAAACGATAAAATATTTGCTTTGTGTAAACCAAATTATTACATTAGATCTAAAATTTGTAAGTCTAATGCAAAATCCATGATGTTTATATTCAAAATGATCATCATATTGTAAGAATTCCGGCAGTGTAAATTATATTCTGGCAGGGTAATTTGTATGAATTTTATGAGCTAAATAAAATAAAAAAATTATACTTCACCGCGTGTATGAGTAGATGCACCGCAGAAAGTGAAAGTCCGGAACCAAGGTACTGCGTAAATGGTAAATGAGAAATAATGAGAAATCGCGGAAAGTGGAAAGTGAAAGTGAAACCGTGTAAAGCGGGTAATACTGTACAATTATTGGTCATTCTGAAATTTATTTAACATATTGACAATATATAGTGCAGTGCAGTGTTGATTTAAAGAAAATAATCTTGAATTACACCAAGTGAACTTAAAATTTTATGGGTGAAATGATGGCATCAAGCATGGGGTGATTTCTCTTCCACCCCCACTTCTAATTCCCATCATCATCACCATCAACCAGGAGCCTCCTACATACACACCTCACAACTAGACTTATATGTATGATTTTCACTGAGTATGATGTTTATATTTGCAGGCACGAGCCATATTAAGGAAGTGTTGGGCTCGAGAAGAAGGTCTTCTCAAGTGTTTGTATCCTATACTGGCATCATCCAAGTCGGAACACCCAACTGATATGTTCTTCCTCAGCACACTCCTCGTCATACCACCAAAATATCGTCCATGTAACACACAAGATGGTCTGGTGGTGGAACATGATACCAGTGTTCTGTTGAAGGTAAGGATCTTATTGTTACCCACCAGGTGGCCAGGTTACCTCCCCCCGGAGGGGTGGCCAGGTTACCTCCTCTCGGAGGAATGGCCAGGTACTTCCCCTCTGAGGGGTGGCCAATAACTTGTAGTACTCTGCCAGGACAGAGTTATATCTTAATGTTTGTGGTTACTTGAACATTGTTGTGACCACAAGTCTTCCTCTTCCCCTCAGTATCACTTTTACTATATTTGGTAAGTATCTTGCAGAAGAAAGTTTGTACTGCAATATTGTAGTGTAGTGTAGTATTGTGTAGTGTAGTGTTGTGTAGTGTAGTGTTGTGTAGGGTAGTGTAGTGCTTATTGGTGTATGTAATTATTGTCATCAGTATATTGGACAGTTAGAGTAATTTGTTTTTCAAAATGAGAGAGTTAAGGAATGGTAAGCTGACCTGTTTCTAGTGTTTACATCATCCACAAAGTGTTTTAATCTATTGAGATTCACCGTAAGAGTCTCCATTGTGGTACTGTACTGTGAAACCACTATTTAACGAACTATACAGAGGTGAAAGTACGTTATATGGAGGTTTCACCGCACAGTATTGTTTAGATATAAACAAAAAATATTTTATCCGCAGAATGTGGTAAGAATGTCCAGGGTTCTTACTTTCCTCATCTCAATTGTTAACGGAAGCATCTCAGAGTTGCCAGAAACTATCGAGTACATTCTATCACAAATACCCGGGAACACGCCCATAGAAAAGATGCAGGGTACGTGGCACAACATGCAAGCAAGTGTTGACAACCTCTTTGATACTAACTTAAACCCCACCATGAAGAACAGTCTCAGGGGACTCAGGCAGGTTGGTCTTACTGTACACAGGCGAGTTCATTAATACAATGTGAGCACTGAACCACTTGTGATACAGTGCTCACACATGATACAATTCACTGAAAATGTTTGTTCTCATCTTTTGCTAAAAACAAAAATGGTCAGTTGTTTATGTTGAGTCTAAGCATCATTTTGATTATTTATAATGAGGTGCTTTAGGAACTTACACTACTGTCTGGACTACAGTAAGGAGTTTTGATTAGGTTAGGAGTGTTTACAGAATATGTGAGTTGGATGACAAGATAATGGCTTTCAGTTATAAAACATTATTGAATCTTATCCACTAATACTTTTCTCTCCAAGGTAATAGAGAAAAAACACGGTCTCTTTCGACGTAACCTCATGGGTAAGCGTGTGAATTACTCTGCCCGGTCCGTGGCTGCCCCCGACCCACTCCTTGCCGTTGATGAGGTCGGGGTACCCATGGATTTTGCCAAGCGTCTCTCTTACCCAGTTCCTGTCACTCAGTGGAATGTTGAGAAACTGAGGCAGCTTGTGAGTATCTTTGTGTCTTAACAATGTGTTGGTAGTTATTGTACATCTACAAGTAAAGATTAAGATATTATTCATTCTGAGTTAACTTTGATAAACTCTTGCTTACTTAACACGACCACATATTCACTTAAGCTTGACCACTTATTAACTTAACACGGTGATGTGGCCATTTTCTATGAATTACTTCTTAATAAGCAAACAGAGCTCTTGTTGACAGGGACACTTCTCTTGACTCAGTCCCGTACTTCCATTTTCATACAGTTTGTCATTTTAAAGTTATGCTTTTCAAATACAGTGGTCCCTCGGTTAACGAACACATTTCGTTCCAGAAGGTCGTTCGTTAACCAAAACCATTGTTTCAATGGGATTTTGGGTAATTGGTTCCAGCTCACCAAAAATTACATACAAAGTAAAAATAAATGCAGTAAAGTACACTTACTTTGAGGTGTGCATGTACAAGGCTCCTGGTTGATGATGATGATGATGGGAATTACAAGTGGGGGTGGAGGAGAGGGGAGAAGAGAAGGAAGTGGGGGTGGAAGAGAAATCACCCCATGCTTGATGCCGTCATTTCACCCATAAAATTTTAAGTTCACTTGGTGTAATTCAAGATTATTTTCTTTAAATCAACACTGCACTGCACTATATATTGTCAATATGTAAAATAAATTTCAGAATGACCAATAATTGTACTGTAAAAACGTAAAAATAGTTTATGTTCAAGAGAGTCACAAGCAAGATGTTACCTCCACTGACCAGAGATACAAACTGACGCCATGCTGGGTGAGTCAAGTGGCTGTTTGGCGCACTAGAAACTAGTTTCCTGTACTTCAATTATGTTAAATAATTGTTAAAATGAGTAAAAATTTTAATATAAAACTTGGAAAATTATTGAATAGTACAACCTTCTTGATATTTTCTCAAATGGGAACGAATTTAAGCCCTAGAACCGATTACTGTATTGGCGGGCTAATATTCCAGCTGATGAGCCAACCAAAACATGTTGAGAGGAATTCGTAAGGAATTCGTTAACCGAATTGAATATTCTTATGGAAGGTAATTCATTAACCGAAATTTTGTTAACCGAGGCGTTCGTTAACTGAGGAACCACTGTATTAATTAAATATTTTCCCAGTTGATGAAATAACCTGCTGTACTGTATGTGTAAAGGCCCTGTAGTATTGTGGTGGGACAATAATAATATAATATATGGTACAGTTTACACATAATTATTTTTATTCTCATCAGGTGAAGAACGGTCCTGAGGTTTACCCGGGAGCGGTGATGGTTGAAGACGAAGAGGGGAAGAAGAAGCGTCTTAGTTCAACCGACGAGAAACAACGTAATGCCGTGGCCAACAAGCTGCTCACGCCGACAGAGTCTCACGTGAGGAAAGTGAACGCGACCAAAATAGTTTACCGACACTTACAGAATGGCGATTTTGTCTTGATGAACCGGCAGCCGACTCTTCACCGTCCCAGCATACAGGCTCACCGTGCCCGGATAATGCTGAATGATAGAGTTTTCCGTATGCCGTATGCTAATTGCAAGGCTTACAATGCAGATTTTGACGGCGATGAGTTAAACTTGCACTTCCCACAGAATGAGATAGCCAGGAGTGAGGCCCAGCATCTGGTCACAACGCACAATCAGTATCTCACCCCTAAAGACGGGTCCCCACTGGCAGGTCTCATCCAGGACTGTGTGGTGGCCAGCGTCATGCTCACCATGCGCGGAAAGTTTTTTGCTCGTGAGGATTACCAACAGTTGATTTATACGGGATTGTCCGACCAAAGCGAGAGGATTAAATTGCTGCCGCCGGCCATTATAAAACCAAAGAAACTGTGGTCTGGCAAACAGGTCATTTCTAGCCTCCTCCTGAACATTATCCCTGAGAACAAGGCCAGACCATCTTTTACGTTCAAGACATCAGTCAAGGCAGATGTAAGTCCCTTTTATTCTCGGTTATTTATTTTTTACTTGTTTCCTCATTATCATCTTTGTTTATTTTATCACCAACAAATTCACTACATTATTCTTTTATTATAATGATTATTCTCAACATAAGGATACCACTTGCTGGCTCACCTTTAGTTGTGAGCCAGTAATCTTGCTTCCATGTGTGTACAGTCCTGTCACCTCTCCTCCTCAACCACCAACCCCAAAATTCAGACTCATGAACCCAAAGCCTTTATGGACAGAATAATGTATTGGTGTCTGAATCTTAGGGTTCGTGGCACAGCAGGTGAGGTATCAACACTTTTGACCGTGACTGTACAATTCACGCCACTTATGAGCCGCACAGACTGGTGGCCTTGAATTGTTAACCAGCAACTTTGCTGGGTCCAACCCTCCCCCACCTCCTAAAACACACAAACCAGGTAATTAATCGGTGGTCAGCTAAGATGTAAAGTCAGCGCTCACCCCGAACACGTTGCCATGTATAAATAGCTTTAAAAATAAATTTTCTTTTTGTTTTTAAAACCTAACCTAAACTAACCTAACCTAACTTAATAACCAAGAAGCATTAAGGTATTTAATCATAAGCTGCAGTAAAATCCTCAGGTGATCCAGAGTATGAATCATTATTGAACTCCCGTTATTCCTCAATACGTGTAAATATTTGTACAGTATTCCCTTAAAGTTCGCGGTTTAAAGATTGCGTCCCTCGGAAACTCACGGATTGCCACTGAAAATAAATAAAATAAATCTGAGGCTGTGTGCCGGGGATCAAGAGGAGTCAACACTACAGAGCACCAGATTTTCCAGGTCATAAGATGCACCCTATAATTAACACGGTTTTTTTTTCAGATTTAATAGCCTACTGTACTGACAAAGCCAAATCACTGGCTACATGCTATCATGTTTCTCAGTATCACTTTATGGACCTAATATCAAACATTTGTTGGTATTATTAATAAAATTTACCTAATTTAATGCAAAAGGCTATAATTATACATATAGGTACCTACTGTATACACATTACAAATATTTATGAGTACTGTACCGGGCATGTTCACTAGGAACTGTCCAGTACAGGGATTGTTTACATCCTGTGCACCAGATCACCTCACATGTCAGAGGTATTATGTTCTCACTACCACAACTATCACTGTCGACCTATAATGTCCATACAGTATTATTTCATGTTTATGTTTATTTATTTATGTTATTTCATATTTATTATATTGTCTTGTACATACATAATGTTGTTATACATGTGCATATAGCTATTTATATATGTATTTTGCACACTCCTGGGACTGAAAAACTCGCAGATTTTACTCTCTCAAGGGGTCCATTATACCTAACCCCAGCGAGCTTTAAGGGAATACTGTAATAATAATCTATGAAAATGAATGTTCTCTTCAACTGTGTAAATATTACATTCTTTCCAGTTGTGGCAGACTAATGAAGAGCGAGCATGGAAGGCTGGCGGCCCCCCAGAGAAGAAGCGTGAGGCTATGACAGATTCTGACTTTGTGATGCGTGATGGAGAACTTCTTTCAGGAGTTATAGATAAAAGTGCTATTGGCTCCACCAGTCATGGTTTAATACACGTGTGTTATGATGTAAGTTATGTGTTATACAGGGGCCATGGTGTGTGTCATAACTGTTCTGGGGCCTTGATGAGTGTTATAATGTAAAAGGGTTATATTGTTTACTTGTTGTTCTTGACAGCAAAAAACAGTGTTGTTTTACATCATTCTTAGTGTGGGTGACATCACTTGCCCTGTAGGTTTGACTGTCAGTGGAGTTTGTGAAGGCAGAAAATATAGCTGTTTTTATAGTGCATAAGAAAAATGAGACCTACTTTGATCAGAGGTGATAATAATAGAAATATTAATAGGCAGAGTTGAGGGTAGGCTGTCCAGGTAGGCAGAGACTGGGGATGGATGAATATAATTAAAACCTACTTGTCCCCAGAGAGAGATACATAACCATAGAGGATTAGTAAACACAGCCCAAGAACATTTATTAGAGTGGAGGACTGTGGTGGCCAACCCTCAGATATGAGGATGGTGCTCTGATAGATTGAATTCCTTTGAGTTAAGGTGTTACTGTACTAGTGATATTGTTTCTGCTCCAGGGTGGGTCAGCAGGGTGGGTAGGTGGGTCAGGATGGCTAACAGATAATATTCTCATTGTTATAAATACATGTACAATATAACCACCTCGTTTAACAGTTATATGGCGGTGGTGTCTCTTCAAAGCTCTTAACTGCCATCAACCGTCTGTGTGTGTACTACCTCAAGTGGACCGGTCACACCATCAGTGTCAAGGAGTTTGCCACACCATCACATGTTAGTGCCAGGCGTAGAGCTGCCCTCCATCGTCTGGTACAGGTATAAGGGCGTCTTTATCTTGTGTTGGTTCACTTGTTACAGCCGTTACAGTATATTGACCAGCTGCGTATTATACAGTATATTGACCAGCCGCGCATGATACAGTATATTGACCAGCCGTGTATGATACAGTATATTGACCAGCCGTGTATGATACAGTATATTGACCAGCCGTGTATGATACAGTATATTGAGCCTTCTGTACTAACCTTGGACACTAGAGGTCATAATAAAGGAACAAAGAATAGACTAAAGTGGTTAAATGATGAGTGAGTCTTGTAGTATTGTTGATCATGTACAGTATAGGTCAGTGATATATCAGACTTGAGTGAGGACTTTAAGCACTGTTACACTTTCATATGTTCAGTGATGGCTGTCGTAGCATGAGACCTGGACTGTGTATCATTAGTATTTCATGCCTTTAATCCCTTCACTACGGGATGCCTCTTTTAATATTTTATTTATCAAATGCCAGATGAAAATTTTATTCACCTCGGAAGGGAACTGTACACGGTGGGTTAATGTACCGTGATAGACCGACTAATCTGCTCACCTTATACACAGAATGCTTCTAGTGAGGTGAGTCGCAAACTGAACATCACCGAGGAAAGTTTCCAAGATTACTTTGAGAAGTTGCACATGTCCCATAGTGAAGTGGAGATGGCGGCCATTGATGCTGCATACACGTCCGTCCTGGCGCCCACCACCTCTCAGGTCACCGGGTAAATATTGTTAACTTGTGTGTTTCAGTAGCTGAGCCATTTTGGGGAGCTACTAAATTAGCCCCCCCCCCCTCCCCTCCCCTCAGCTTATTTTACCTTGAGATTAACCATCCTAATGCTAACGTAATCTAACCTTAAGATTAACCCCCAGCTTATTTTAACATGAAATCAACAACCTTAATCTAACCTTAAGATTAACCCCCAGCTTATTTTAACATGAAATCAACAACCTTAATGCTAACCTAATCTCACCTCAAGATTATCCCCACCTTATTTTAACTTATAATACAATACCCTAATGCTAACGTAACCTAACCTTAAGATTAACCCCAGCTTATTTTAACTTATGATACAATACCCTAATGCTAACTTTACCTAACTAAGGATACCCAACATTTAGGAGTTCTGTTGTTACTCAAGCAAAATAGCTGGAACCCCGTTATGCATGTACGATAGTTGTTGACATATCATGATGGACACATCCTCAAGCATCATTGGCAAAGTTTGATGAGATGTACAGTTGCCAGCAAAAGTCCTCCCACTGTGGAAGAACTTTTGCTGGCAACTGTACATGTCACTGTATATGAAGTGTCAACAGACCCATTTGACTGTTACTACTTGTTTTAAATGGGTCTTGATATTTTATGTTTTATGTCCATAGACTTGTTGCAGTCCTCACCTCCCCAATTTTGTGTTATAATTCCAGTACTATGGAGAATTGACACTATGGCCATGAAGTAATTTATTTTTATGTATGTTTCAGGAATACACTCCAAGAATTATGAAACATTTCTGAAACACCCTGTATAGTACACACTTGTTAATATAGTACAGTACACAGTTGTTAATATAGTACAGTACACAGTTGTTAATATAGTACAGTACACAGTTGTTAATATAGTACACATGGGTTATTAATATTTGTTGTCCTCAGAGATAATGAACGTGGGTTGTTGCGGCGAGGCTTAGACAACCACATGAGGATGATGGTGGATACTGGAGCTAAGGGCTCTAAGGTGAGCCTTAACATGATGGTAGAGCTAAGGGCTCTAAGGTGAGCCTTAACATGATGGTAGAGCTAAGGGTTCTAAGGTGAGCCTTAACATGATGGTAGAGCTAAGGGCTCTAAGGTGAGCCTTAACATGATGGTAGAGCTAAGGGCTCTAAGGTGAGCCTTAACATGATGGTAGAGCTAAGGGCTCTAAGGTGAGCCTTAACATGATGGTAGAGCTAAGGGTTCTAAGGTGAGCCTTAACATGATGGTAGAGCTAAGGTGTATATACAGTTATTATTGTGTTATTCCAGAGTGTACAGTACAGTAGTAATGAAGGAAAAGAGATGCAAGTTTATACCAAGATTGTATACAAGTCGTCCAAGTTATTTGAAATTTACTAAATTAATACAATATATTAATGTAAGAACCATCCATAATCTGGCTGTGTTTGTAATAGATACAGTATGTTTAGGTCGATAATGAGAGACCAACATACTGTACAAAGAATTACTCACATTATTATAACCTTTTTTGATGATGTAAATGCATTAATTATAAATTGTTATTATGATATGTGATTGTTATGATAAGGAGCTGTGGTCCAGACTTTGTAAAATTCTGAGCCAAATAGATTTGTCTGTCTTGTCCAACACCAATATGGGGTAATAAATAGATGGTGAGGAAGGTCACATCTCAATGGTCACATCTCAAGAAGTAGGTTAAACTCCTGTCATTTGTTTGCAAGGTTTCCACTAATAATTAAAATAAACTAGATTATATATCATTAGTATTTTTTTATTTGCAGGTGAACATGAACCAAATGGCTTCATTATTTGGGTCCGTAGCTATTGATGGTAAGAGGATGCCTCTGAGCATTACTGGCAAGACTCTGCCATCTTTTAAAGCTTATGATCCCAACCCACGCTCAGGAGGCTACATTCCCAACCGCTTCATGACCGGTATCAACCCTCAGTCATATTTCTTCCTGTGCATTGTGGGGCGAGATGTAAGTTATGTCAGGTTTATTAACATCACTTGTTCATTACACTCATACAGTACATCATTGTGGGGCGAGATGTAAGTTATGTCAGGTTTATTAACATCACTTGTTCATTACACTCATACAGTACATCATTGTGGGGCCAGATGTAAGTTATGTCAGGTTTATTAACATCACTTGTTCATTACACTCATACAGTACATCATTGTTGGGCCAGATGTAAGTTATGTCAGGTTTATTAACATCACTTGTTCATTACACTCATACAGTACATCATTGTTGGGCCAGATGTAAGTTATGTCAGGTTTATTAACATCACTTGTTCATTACTCTCATACAGTACATCATTGTGGGGCCAGATGTAAGTTATGTCAGGTTTATTAACATCACTTGTTCATTACACCATACAGTACATCATTGTGGGGCCAGGTTTATTAACATCACTTGTTCATTACACATCACTTGTTCATTACAGTACATCATTGTGGGGCCAGATGTAAGTTATGTCAGGTTTATTAACATCACTTGTTCATTACACTCATACTGTACATCATTGTGGGGCCAGATGTAAGTTATGTCAGGTTTATTAACATCACTTGTTCATTACACTCATACAGTACATCATTGTTGGGCCAGATGTAAGTTATGTCAGGTTTATTAACATCACTTGTTCATTACTCTCATACAGTACATCATTGTGGGGCCAGATGTAAGTTATGTCAGGTTTATTAACATCACTTGTTCATTACACTCATACAGTACATCATTGTTGGGCCAGATGTAAGTTATGTCAGGTTTATTAACATCACTTGTTCATTACACTCATACTGTACATCATTGTGGGCTAGATGTAAGTTATGTCAGGTTTATTAACATCACTTGTTCATTACACTCATACAGTACATCATTGTGGGGCCAGATGTAAGTTATGTCAGGTTTATTAACATCACTTGTTCATTACACTCATACAGTACATCATTGTTGGGCCAGATGTAAGTTATGTCAGGTTTATTAACATCACTTGTTCATTACACTCATACAGTACATCATTGTGGGCCAGATGTAAGTTATGTCAGGTTTATTAACATCACTTGTTCATTACACTCATACAGTACATCATTGTGGGGCCAGATGTAAGTTATGTCAGGTTTATTAACATCACTTGTTCATTACACTCATACAGTACATCATTGTTGGGCCAGATGTAAGTTATGTCAGGTTTATTAACATCACTTGTTCATTACACTCATACAGTACATCATTGTGGGGCCAGATGTAAGTTATGTCAGGTTTATTAACATCACTTGTTCATTACACTCATACAGTACATCATTGTGGGCCAGATGTAAGTTATGTCAGGTTTATTAACATCACTTGTTCATTACACTCATACAGTACATCATTGTGGGGCCAGATGTAAGTTATGTCAGGTTTATTAACATCACTTGTTCATTACACTCATACAGTACATCATTGTGGGGCCAGATGTAAGTTATGTCAGGTTTATTAACATCACTTGTTCATTACACTCATACAGTACATCATTGTGGGCCAGATGTAAGTTATGTCAGGTTTATTAACATCACTTGTTCATTACACTCATACAGTACATCATTGTGGGCTAGATGTAAGTTATGTCAGGTTTATTAACATCACTTGTTCATTACACTCATACTGTACATCATTGTGGGGCTAGATGTAAGTTATGTCAGGTTTATTAACATCACTTGTTCATTACACTCATACAGTACATCATTGTGGGGCCAGATGTAAGTTATGTCAGGTTTATTAACATCACTTGTTCATTACACTCATACTTCTCTTATAGCATAAGTTTAGGTTTTTGTCTCTGACATTGTGTCTTATTATCAGTTGGTTGTCTCTTGGTGTACAGGGTGTCTCATAAGTTGTCTACCATACTGTACAGTGTGTCCTATATGCAGTATGGTGTATGACCTATGAGACACCCTGTACAGTTATTGATACCTGTACTCACCTACAGTACTCAGTGTAGACTTCCTTCCACCGTAGCCACCAAGCAACATCCTGTCCATAATAATATTAGTAATGATCTATACATTAGTCTAGGGTGATACAGAGACTCACACAACTTTTCTTCTTCATCAGAGTTTACAACACACAGCTGTAAAGACTGCTGACAGTGGCTACCTACAGCGGTGTCTCATCAAGCATCTGGAGGGGATTAATGTGAAGTACGACATGACTGTTAGAAATATTGATGGTCTTGTGCTGCAGGTAAGGATATATACCTCTACTTAACTAATACAGTGATATCCCCGTTAGCCAGAACAATTGGTGCAGAGCACTTTCGGGGATGAGAGATTTCCGGCTCACGAAACGACTTTCTCACACCGGGAAAAATTCCTTTGTCCTCGGAATCTTTTCCGGTTACTGGGAAAGGTTTCCGAGTGTCTAAAGTAGACATCTTGTGCAGACGCACACTAGCCCACTTACCCAGAACGTTTCTGGGTGCTGGGGAAGTTTTCCTTGAGTCTAAACTACCGGAGTCCATAAATGCTGTTCTAATTAAGTTAAAATCTCCATTTCTTTACTATAAAAATTCAGAATACAGTATTTTATCTAAAAGTTTGATTAAAAAAACATAGTAGTTAAAAATTAAAAATCTATAGGATATGGGCATGAATGAAGCTGTGTGTTACAGCAAAGACTGGTATTTTCCACTCCCTTGGACACCTTTACAGTTTGCCTATGGTGAGGATGGACTTGATGTGACCAAAGTGCCATTCTTAAAGAACCCACACACCTTAGACGTACTGGTGAAGAACTACAGCCGACTACTGGACGAACGATCTCTCTCTATTGCCAAGTCTGTTGGAGAAAAGAAACTTGTTGACAAATATAAAATGAAGGTAAGATGATGTATGTTGTGGCTACAGGATTGTTGAGTTATAAAAGTTGTTGTTGGTTTCATTGTTTAGTTTTAGCTGCCACGTAGAGGACGATGTTATGCCTCTGTCTTGACCCGTCCACTTGTTCAATAGAAACAATATTGTGCAGGTAACTTGTTCTTAAGGTCTAGGGAGAGGAAGAGCCCTTTACATACTGGGGTCACCAGGTGAAAGATCAAGGTCACTTCCTAAAACATTGACCTCGGCTCCCATTGTTGGTGTGAGAAACGGAATAATAGGGTCACTGGGTCAAAGGTCAGTGATGACATTGCTTAAACAATAGTCTCTTCATTTCAACTTTGCAAATAAAGCCTAGAGCCTTTTTGTAACAAGACAGCTGATTGGCTGACAGGAAAAGTCAAATGGTCACTCAACCAACCTTTAGTATGTATTAAATTTATTTTATCTATATTTAGCAATAATAACTACCTCAGATAATTTTAAGGCATAATAACTATCTCAGATAATTTTAAGGCATAATAACTATCTCAGATAACTTTAAGGATAACATAAATATCATAAAGAGAACAAGAAAAGGTTACAAAATTTCAACAACTTTCTCATCCTTTTAGTCGACCGCGCTACACGACGTCACACTGAGAGTTATGTTGTTGAACCTTATTTGTGTTCCCTTTATGATAGTTTTACTGCCAATGCCTTTCACAAGCTAATTTTGGTTGCCTCAAGTGCAGAAATTATCAGAGGTCAACAAAGCAAACTTTTTATCCTGTAATGTACAGTACAGTCGTCCTCAGTTTTTGGATTGATTTTGTTTTAATTTACTGAAACAGAAATGGTTAAGTAATGAGTAAACCCTGATAAATGGAAAGCAGAATTCACTATACAGGTAATGGATTTTTTTCATAGATTTTAGGAGATAAAATATCAATAATGTAGGTAAGATTTTCTTCCTTCCTCCCTCCAAAATTAATAAAAACTATTATAATAAATAATAAAATTGATGCACAGTTCATATTTATGTACCAAAAATAGCTCCCCAAACCACCGTCCTGGTAACACCGAGAGTAAACAACACAGTTCGGCCAGGCAGCCACCCAGCTGACTCAGAGACGTGTATGTCGTGAATGGGCGGCAATGCACGGACAGGAACAACTCGTACAGGTGTTAAGAGAGAAAATAGTTATTAAATGCTTACCATAATTTAACGTGATAGTCAGTGGTGAAGAGGAAAAAGTAAACATACAGCAGATAGTAGTTATTTTCATTAAATCTGTGACCATTTCTACCTTTTTTTTATTGTTGATTTGTGTACCAGGAACTATCCAAACAAGATTTAGCTCCTATAGTACCTCTGAGAAATGTCAGCTAACTCCACGGGAACGTAAATTCCAAAATGGCGGCCGGTGGTCATTTTCGCGATATGGCCGGTGATAGTTTTTGAACTAGATACACTAGAATCATGAATAAGGGAACTTTTTTACACTAATTTTGAAGAGAAAAATCTGATGGGATGGTATATAACTAAGGAACCAACTGAGCTATCTGCATGAATGGGGCTTCTACTGCCACTAGTTCCAGCGTAATAGAATGGAACAGATAGTTATTTTACTGCTGAGGAGGTCACCTCGATCGTGAATACAAAATAGGTTCACTCTGAAATCTTATAAAAACGGGTGAGAACATAATGACCACCGATTACATTAATGCAACACCACCATGTGAGAATAATTTGTGATCTCAGTATCTGGGGGATATATTCTGAATAAAATTAAACATCCTTTTTTTTTGGGGTTTACTACAATAATATCATACACTTTAAGCATCACTATCAGCAGCATCTCCATTGTCACTATCAGCAGCATCTCCATTGTCACTATCAGCAGCATCTCCATTGTCACTATCAGCAGCATCTCCATTGTCACTATCAGCAGCATCTCCATTGTCACTATCAGCAGCATCTCCATTGTCACTATCATCAGCATCTCCATTGCCACTATCAGCAGCATCTCCATTGTCACTATCAGCAGCATCTCCATTGTCACTATCAGCAGCATCTCCATTGTCACTATCAGCAGCATCTCCATTGTCACTATCAGCAGCATCTCCATTGTCACTATCAGCAGCATCTCCATTGTCCTATCAGCAGCATCTCCATTGTCACTATCAGCAGCATCTCCATTGTCACTATCAGCAGCATCTCCATTGTCACTATCAGCAGCATCTCCATTGTCACTATCAGCAGCATCTACATTGTCACTTTCACTATCTGTGTCAGTGTCTTCATCATCTGGATTCAGGGGAAGGGTTATTGATGTGGGAAGGGGGGCTGGTGTAGCAGGCCATCTAACAAATACCATCCATGTTTGATGAGAGACGGGTGGAATTGGAGGTTTGGTTTGTTGCTTCAGCAGAAAACTGAGATAGTTTGTTCGCTTTAAGTGGAGGTGAAGACTGTCTGAGTGAGGTGCCAGCCGGACGTTGCTGTTCTTCTTCGCCTTCCACTTAGCTGCCCTTACTTCTCCCAGAGTCGTGTTCATGGCGTCAAAATAGATGTATCGGATCACAGACCGCTCCAAGTCATCGAGGACCTCTTTTGGGGCTGGCAGCTCTGAGCCACACGATGCCAAAAGGTCACGTGCCTCCTTAGAACTTTGGATACGATCTGTTACCAGTTTCTTGCTAGTGCCATAGAAGCCAGAGTTATGATCACAGCCAGTGAGGACGTGGAGTGGAATAATGCCGGCCGCCATTTCCTCATCTCATAGACTTCGAGAGGTGATGAATTGTGTCTTCCTCTTCAGACATAATACTCCTGATATTTGCTGGGCAACATAAGCTGCCTGCATGTAGTTATTGGTGTCTTCTGTATCAAGAATGACAGATTCTGTATAGCCCTCTGACCGGAGGACACTTTGGATGAAAAACATTGCGGTGTCAACTCTGCAGGGGAACAGGTGAACTGTGGTGCAGGCTGGCCTGTACTGAGGTTTTTTTGCATTGGGGCCTATACAGTAGAACAGCATTTTTTAACCTGGGGTGCTGAAATCAATTTCATGAGTGCTGGGAAAGGGCTTTATTTTTGGAGAAAGAACAAAATAAATTATCAAACAATACTTAACTTAGTTTTTATAGCCCTGTAGCAACTGTAGTCTCTGCAACCAGATGAAGGGATGCTGGACTGCCTAGACCTGACTACAGGGAGTGCTGAGGTTAAGAAACGGTGCGTTAGAAGATTTTGACAGTGCTCTGGAATCCAGCCTGCAGAAATGCCTACAAATGGATTTTACTTTCTGCTTTACCCAGAAGGTGGAAGTCTTTGATTGCAGAAAACTTTTCTTCTGACTTCTTGTAAATGTTACTGATTGATGCATTATTCTGACACAGCATGCGTTCACTGCCTTTGATTGTCCATCTCTGATTGTATGGGTCATTCACACAAATGATCCGCTGTGCATTTTTATGCCTTGTCAAAAATTTTTGCATCACCACTTTGGCAACTCAACTACAACGAGGAACGAGGACTGCCACAAGATTCTCTCATTAAATTTTCTTCATTGTTTAAGCAAATATAAGAACATTTAGAAACTTCTCATTATCTTAAATAACAATGAATAGTTTATTATTATGAAATTTTTACCTTTGTATTGTTTAATATTTATCCTGACAGTAATGCAGCTGAAAATAGATCCACCAATCACAATCACCTTTACATACAACCTTACTTTACCAAGTATTGCCAGGTAAAACTGCCAGTACGAGCCTCAGGATGGGGTCGCTGGATCTTTGGCTGACTGTACACAAATCAACAATAATTTTTTTTTATGAATATAATGGTCACAGACCTGATGAAAATGACTACTAAGAGGATTGTGTGAGGTGCATGTGTTTAAACTGTAATAGACCTAACTACCCACACATCCATGGTCTCTTCTGTGATGGGAGTCTTTGAGAAAATTGGGTTCAGTAATCAGAATTTTGATTTACAGCAAAATTTTATGGAACGTAACCCTTCCATATATCGGGGGATGACTGTATATAAGTCGCCCTTCTCTCTATATATATTCATTATATATTTTCAGTTTTGAAGATGGAGAGTTGTTAGGTGTCGGTGGTCCTGGGGATGGTCAGGGGTTTTATTTGCTCAGGCTAAACTAGTGACAGTAGGTGTGTCTAACTATTTGATGTGTGACAAGTTATGTTTGGAGTTTATATTACTGTACAGTACATGTTTATTTTTTTGGAAATAATGTCAATATTAATATGTCATCTTCTTAAATTTATAGTTAAAGAAGTGGCACAAGAAGGCCAATGAGAGAAAGGTCCGTAACAGTGCCTTCCTCAAGTTCTGTAAGAAAACGGCCGCCACTGTTGAGAGTAGCGGCTTTAACAAAGACACTGGCCGTGCCAACATCTCCAGAGAGCTACAAGACATGTGGCAACAATTGACACCAGAAGAAAAGAAAAAGTTAGTATTAATGTTTGTACAATATATGAGGTGCCTAGAATGGGAATGGTATATCTCCAAAATGCGGGTTTTAAGTAAATAACATTTAAAGTTTATGTGCCATGAAAACTACTGCGTGGATTTCTAAGTATTAATATTTCTTGTAACACTTACTATATTTACAGTACCTGCTTTTATTGAACCATCAAAACCGTTTTATCGGAAATTATCATGTAAATAGATAAGTAATTACCATTGCAATAAACATATTTGCCAACAAGTCATAATCCTGACAGCTCTGTCCTCTTGTTCAACCTTATTACTGTACAACCCATGTTGTACTGCTCCCCCATTCTACTTATGTTTTTCAATTCCACTGTAATTTATGTATATACTGTACTTATGATATAAATAAAAATTATATATATAAAAATATTTAATATATAAAATAAATAAATATTGAAGTGATAGCCGTGGTAATATGTTCTTATTACTACCATGCTATTGTACTATTCCAGATGATACTAAATGTTACATAATACTTCCTTGAGATAAATGTATAGTATATATCAGGTACCTCAAAGAGAGCTCAGGTTCTCAACTGGCTCAGCCATGTTAATATTGTTATTATTATCCACTCTGTATCTGTGTTTTTCTGGCTAAATAAACTGTTTCAATTCAATTCCACAAAAGTTGTACCGCAGAAGGGATGTTGCCTGTGGAAAATTGAGCCCCAAATGCGCCCCCCCCCCAAAAAAAAAAATTAAAAATAAATCAATAAATATCACCAAATTTTCATGAAACTGGGTATACTGTATTAGTTGTGTGTTCCTCCAATGGAATACTGGACCTTGTGGCGGCGTAAGCGACACTCAGTCAGGCTTGATTATGTAGAGCAAAGGCCAGTGAACACGCCTCTGGCTATATCTCCCAATCATGATTTTGGCTCTTATGCCACTCCTATTGTAGGCGTCTCATATCCACTCTAATACACACACACACACATACCTAACATTACCTGACCCAACCTAACCTAACCTGACCTGACCTGAATTGACTCGACCTAACCTAAGAAAAAGAGCGGGGAAACCGTACACAAGTGGTTAATACACGTTCACATATTCCCAGGTACAACAAGAACATCAAGTGCCCAGATCCTGTTAATTCCATATTCTCTGGCGCCTCTAACCTTGGGGTAGTGTCTGAAGCCTTAGATGACCTTATTGAACGTTACTATGAAGAGAATTATCACAAGCAACCACAACAACAGCAGAACTTGACCCAGAAACAAGTGGCGACGTCTGTACACATGAAGGTTTTAACATCTATGGTCGATCCCGGTGAAGCTGTTGGTGCTTTGTGTGCCCAGGTGTGTATACTGACTGTTAGACATGTACTGTATACTGACTGTTAGACATGGTGTGTATACTGACTGTTAGACATGGTGTGTATACTGACTGTTAGACATGTACTGTATACTGACTGTTAGACATACTGACTGTTAGACATGGTGTGTATACTGACTGTTAGACATGGTGTGTATACTGACTGTTAGACATGTACTGTATACTGACTGTTAGACATGTACTGTATACTGACTGTTAGACATGGTGTGTATACTGACTGTTAGACATGTACTGTATACTGACTGTTAGACATGGTGTGTATACTGACTGTTAGACATGTACTGTATACTGACTGTTAGACATGGTGTGTATACTGACTGTTAGGGTACTGTTGTATTACAGTATAACCCCTATTTAATGGACACTATGGAGAGGAATGTCCATTATATTGAGGGTCTGTTAGATGTTAAACCTCCATGTACTGGCTTATAGGGAGAGAGAAGTTCACTATATGGAAGGTTTATTGTAAGTGATTCTTTCATTAATTTGTGTTTAGTTTTTGTTTTCTTTTTCTTTCAGGCAATTGGTGAACCCTTAACTCAGATGACCCTGAACACTTTCCATTTTGCCGGCAGAGATGAACTTAATGTTACGCTGGGTTAGTTGACGGCATTTTTCCTGTACATGTTAGTTAATAGTATAGATGTTGTGTTCATGATCTTTGGTTGAACTAAGATCAGTTCCTTCAACTCTAAATTAGTCTTTTGATCACTGTTTTTTTTTCTTCATAGTTTTATTACACCACAGTGAGATTAAACAATTTTTACTAATCCTGTAATAGACTGCTTAACAGTTTTTGTTGTAATAGACTGTACATGATAATGACAAGTGTGAAGAGCATCTAATATCATGTAAAATAAACCATGATATGTAATAATAGAACTCCCCATAACACATGTTGCTATTGTTTTATGTAATGAAAGTATAAAAGTTGTGGAAAATCATTTCAATACTCTAATGTGACTTAAAAATACAGTAAAGAAAACATAAAATAAAACTATAAAATAAGAAAAATTGAGAGCTTCTTATGTGTGGGAAGTGAATGTATGTGAGGAGGCAGTATGATGTTTGTTAGTGTGGAGACTCGGCTAGTTAGGTCTATTACAGTTTAAACACATACACCTCACACAATCCTCTGCTGTATGTTCACTTTATCCTCTTCACCACTGACTATCAAGTTAAATTTAAGCCAACCTTAAAAGAACTATTTTCTCTTATAACTATAGTATGAGTTGCTTCATTTCTGTTGAGAGGATGAGCTTGAAACTCAGTCTCAAGTTCTTGGTTAAAAACAAGAATCCCAACTGTAGGCTGGAGTATATTCAAGTCACAACCTTGGAGTAGGGAGATATGGTTCACATAATTCCTATGTCCTGTCAGGGTTCTCAATTCATATGTCATGAACCAACCCATTTAATCAACAAGCAGTAAGTCAACCAAGGTTTATATCAAATATGTTTGTCAAAGTCATCACATTATCTTAGCCAGACTGCATAACTTGAGTTTATCAACTCTGGGGCCTTGCTTGTATCTTCTTCATCAGTTTTATTCACCTTGTCTTTGACTCCTATCTCTGAGATGTTATTGCATGGGAAGACCAGTTGTTGTTGTTATAATAACATGTTGTGTAAAGTACAGGTGTGCCTCGTATGGTGGAGATCTTAAGAACAGCCAGCAGGAACATCTCGACCCCCATCATGGAGCTGCCCTTCTACCCTCACGTCAAAAGGTCTCAGGCAGAATTCCTTCGTGTCAAGTTATCAGAAGTGTCATTGTCCAAGGTGAGTCGTGTGTGGTCAGTGTTCTTTCTCAACTAACACTCAATATTATCAGTGTCTTTATTGTAGGTTATTGAATACAGTAGCTCTTAGAATTTATAAACAGATGTTGGACCTAAGGAAACATTTATACTGTACTGTACTGCATTAAGTGTATGAGTGGTCAGCCAGCTGTAACCCTCATCACTGATGGCTGCCACTAACTCACCAGTTACCATAACTCTCCTGTTATAAACCAGGAGTTTTAGAGGCAACAGTTACCCAAAGTTACGAGTCAATAAATAACCGACCGCTCTGAGTGCCAATTCTGGCTCTCAGGACCAGAACCTATTTTCCCCCATAAGTTATTAATGTCGATATACAGTTGATCAACTTATGATGGCTTTTTGATGTCCCTGTAGCGTATAATGGTCAACACCTGTATAAGGAAAGCCAGACAGTAATGAAGATAAGGGTCACAACAGTACCGGTGAACCTGTGCACAAAACACATGTAAATTTAAGTCCAGCTCCAGATACAGTATTGCTGTACAGTTATATCTCCAATAGCTGAACCAATTGGTACAGATCACCTCCAGGAATGAGATATTTTCGGGTAATGCGACGACTCTCTCAAAGCCATATCCCTCATCCCCGGAATTTTCTGGGTAACGAAAATATTTTCTCGGAAGTTCCAGAAATTGCTCATTACGTCATCTGTCAAATCCGTAAAGAAATCCCCCATCCCCAGAATTTTTCCAGGTACCAGAATTTTCCAGAATGATGCATTATTTCATCTCTTAAGCCGTAGAAATATCCCCCATCCCCGGAATTTTCTGGGCACCGGAAAGTTTTTCTCTGAATTTCCAGAAAATACGCCTTATTTTAATCTCTCAAACCTGTGGGACCCCCCCTCTCCCCTCTATTCCCAGAATTTTCTTGGAATTTTCCAAAAATGTGGCCCTCAGAAAATCGTTCCCAAAGTTGGAATTTTCCAGAAAATTCCGGGTTTGGGAACGATTTTCCAATAAAATGTCAATTACGGCTATCTGAGTGTTTCGGCTTTCGGAGTTATTATTGTACAGTATTTGAGTAAGGAGAATATTATCGCACTGGAGAGTTTGTTAATAAAGTACAGTACAGTACTTTGTATCCTACTGTAATTATATTGTTAACCCACATACCATAGGTAGAGTAGGTCACTGTATACCATTTAGCACTTTCTACAATGGGTAAAATATGTAAGTCTCGTTGCCACCGAGTTAATTATAGAACCGGGCATTCCAGGAATAATCTGTTATAAGTTTTCTTGCTGTAGGTACTACATGGCCTGGAAGTTACTTCACGTCTGGAGAAGGACGAGAAACTTCGTGTTCACCGCCGGACCAAGGTCAAGTTGACCTTCCTACCTCATAGGGATTACAAGAAAATGTTTGCCGTCAACCCATCACAAGTGTTGAACTACGTTGAACGTGAATTTATCCCAAAGATACTCTTAAAAGAAATTAAGAATTCTTTTGGAAAAACGAAAAAAATGTGGTAAGTTAACATTTTAATATTACAAGATAGATGACTCACACTAAGGGTTAAACTTAAGACTGATGGAGGCCCTGCTGACCTGTTTTATGTTAAGGGAATACTGTACTGTACCTTCTTTATTTTTTATTTTTAGCATAAAAAATCCATTGCCGTACAAGGTATGATTGGTAAACTGTTAATTCATGCCATATTTTTCTCATTTATAAAAGTAACATTTTTACAAAGGCTTAATTTATGGCCTCTGCTCTCTTTATACTGTGTACACTATATGAAAGGACAGTGTTTAGAGGGGCAGGTATGGCACAGTTCTGTCCTTCAGCATGCAGACATTTACAGTAATCAGTTCTACCATACAAGCTACTATTAGTTGCATCATTGATCAGACATCTAGTATGATTTGTTTCTTGTAAAGTCTTGGAAGAGTTGTTTGAAGTGTCTCATGTTTGTGTACCGTAGTAATGCACAACCTATTGTTGATAAGTTTCTTTTTTGGCAAGTGACCGCTCACCCCTGCTGTTGGTAACCACAAGACGCTTATGAGGCACTATTTCCACATTGGGAAATATACACTGAGCACGTTTATTGAATATCAACTTATACAGAAACTGTTTTTGCTCCTATCATCTTCTTTCTCATCCTTGAATACATTTGAAATTTAGCAAACTGATCAAACTCAATACCAAGACTTTGGTCTAGATTATCTTATACAGTCTCACCCAAAAGTTGGTCTCCCAGCCAGCTACTGCTGCACTGCCTGCTTCAGATATTTGAAACTGTCTCGGTACCAACCAGAACATGAAACCGATACGAATGAATCTAAAGGTTCGACGTAACAGACTCAAGTTCATACATCTAAAGCAGGCAGTCCAGCAATAGCTGGCTGGGAGAGTTAACAAACTTTTGGGTGAGACTGTACATGTTAACAAGCTTTGTTACAGAGTGTTAGGTCTCTTCAAGACTGAAGAATTCAAGTTGACCCAAAGAGCCAAATGGAGAACAGATTAGCTCATAAGCAGAGCTGCTGTGTCAGAAAGCTGACTTTAATCTAATGGATTGATTTGCACACTGATCTTGTGTCACCATTCTTCAGTTTGCACTTATAATGTTGTTCCGTTTTCTCTCTAGCCCGCCACTTGTGCTCAAAGAAGCATTCACTCACATTTTGACTTCAACAAAACTTTTCAGCAACTTGACTGTGGTGGACCACGGCAGCTTCTGATTTGCACTGTTAACCTTGTCGAAAATTTCATGCATGAAGACTGAATATATTCCTGTCTCAGTCATGCATGTGCACTCATGTAGGCCATTTGCCTCATAATGTACTTTAGATATTTAATTATAAGGATAACCATGCATAAGTGCTTTACTAGTGTCAGCCTTGCATGACTGCTGTATGGTGTACACTCACCTTACTGTCAGATGCTTTGAGTGAATGTGTCAGTGTTTCAAAATGATGTGTTGATGCAGTGAAAAGTGTATAAACTCTAGAGAAAGTAAATGAAACTCACAGCAGCTGGGCAGGATTCAGCAGCTACCTGTTACACACAAGGTATCCATGTTGCCAAGTCGTTTTCTGCAGCCACCATAGCTTGGAGACCATTGTACTTTCCACTCATGGCTGAAGTATTATCATATGACTGACCACCAAAATTTTTATGTCAATATTGTGAATACAGTTTTGAGAAATTACACCAAGCCATAGAACATGTTTTGTGCACTTGTGACCTTGGGAAGGCATAAATTTCACAAATCACTCAATTGTTGTCATGTGCTCCATATATCAGAACACAAGTGATCCTTTTCTTCTGGTACATAATTGAGGGAAATTAAAGAGTACAGTCCTTGGAATGTTAGATATGTGAAATGATCTTTTCATCTTTTTCCATGAGTTATACTAATGGTTTGCATAAAGTTAAGGACAGATAATTTATATGATCACTTCAAAGATTACTATGTATCTGTAGTACTCAAAAAGGAGCTCTAGCATGCAAGGATAGTTTCCACTAGTGTGTAAATTCTGAGTCTCATTCTTGCCCCAAAGTACCAGGCTCTCCATGCTGAATGACCTCCCCTCCACATGCTTGACCTATCCCTGGTTCTTCTCCCCTCATCCACTTTTGGTTTTGAATGCAGAAATTGTGAAGCTTTCAGTAGTAATGTAGAGTATATTGGTATAGTCATGTGTACACCATTAACAGTTAACTTACTAACATGGAATAATAAGTGTGTCTTCTACTTTTGGAAATCAGTGAGTTTATAACTGGTGTACAGAGCATTGCAGGCATTGATGACTTAACTAAGGCTGGTTCTTTTATATTTACAGCTCCACAATTACTGAGGAGAATAAAGACAGCGATGGTGATGATGAGAACAACGACAACATCGAACTTGATGCTGCTAAAGAGACCAAAAAGTCTAAGAAGAAGATGAAAGCCAATTATGGTGTTGAGAGCAGCGAGGAAGAGGATGAAGATGACTTCCAACAGGAGGTTGCCTTCACATACACTTTGTTCTCTTATATTAATTAACTTTGTCGTACTATATAATATTATCAACTGTGGGAAAATAATTGGCATTCATCTTCGCCGTCATTTTGTGGCCATTTTCCGTGCTTGGGAGGGTTAGGCATGATTGCCTGATGGCTGCTCCCCATGCTGTGCAGTCTCTTTATGTCTCTCTTGTCAGGTCCTTATCTCTGAGGTCATTACCCACAACCTTTCCCCATGTTATTCTTGGCCTCCCACTGACTCTCGTCCTCTTGAAGTTCTTACTTAAGACTCCTAAGTGTTGAAGGGTCAGTGGCCTTATTTGATTTTCAACATTGTCATCCATAGCCTCTGCTGGGCTGTATACAGTTTACTGAAGTCAGATGGGTCATTCCCTTCAACTGGACTCTTTCACAGTGATATTTTTAGCATGAATGTTTTAGTTTTATCTGAAACTAAACATTTAGATCCTTTTCTTGTAGACTCACTTAGAATATTGACAGCAAGTGCCCAAATGTTGATATTTGTAAATCATTATGGAAGTGAACTTTTTTGGGTCAGTCAGTTGCAGTGAGAAACAAATGTATTTACAGTACACAGATCAGAGAATCTCTACAGTGTGGTGCCTAAGATAATAAACAAACTTCAAAACAGTACAAATTATACCTATAACATAACATACAGCTCATTGAATGATGACAGTTTTATCTCAGGCGGGAACAGCTCGAAACTTCCCCGCTTGGTTTGGTAGGGAGGAGGTTAATAACACACTCGTATGGGAAACAGTTTCTCAAAGGCCTCATACCTAAACCAGTTTCTTTAAGTAACCAGATCATTGTGTGAGTGTGTCTATTAAACTGGACCTAACTTCCACCAGGCACCTGAGGATACTGACGCAACTTCATCATCAAGAAGCAAAAAAAGACAAGAACAAGATTATTCTGAAGATGAAGAAGCTGAGTTGGTGTCAGAGGAGGAAGGTGATCAGGAGACAGTGAAGGAGCAACTTTTACCACAAGATGAAGAAGAGAATCAATCACAGGAGGTAAGACAAATAATCTGAGGTTATATTGTAATGGTTTATGGTTATAATGGTTTAAGGTTATAATGGTTTATGGTTATAATGGTTTATGGTTATAATGGTTTAAGGTTATAATGGTTTAAGGTTATAATGGTTTATGATTATAATGGTTTAAAGGTTTTAATGGTACAATATTGGTTTACCTCAGGATATAATGGATGGTGAAGATGTGAGGAAGCACAAGAAGGGCATTAGTCTAAAAGAAGCAGAGGTACGCAAGGAGACGCTCTTGAACAGTGACAGCTGGATCATTGACTATGACTTTGACAGAGAGAAGGAACTTTGGTGTGAAGTGAGTATAAGTCTCCAGAACTTTGGTGTCTTGTGTGAGTATAAGTCTCCAGAACTTTGGTGTGAAGTGAGTACAGTATAAGTCTCCAGAACTTTGGTGTGAAGTGAGTACAGTATAAGTCTCCAGAACTTTGGTGTCTTGTGTGAGCTGTGAAGTGACTACAACACTGTCCTGTATGCACTCTGTTAACGTGTCTATGTTTTAATTACTGATACATATTGACAGGTCACACTCGTCCTCCCCATAAATGGCGGCAACTACGACATCCCGTCAATCGTGCGCCAGAGATCACAACGTGCTCTCATCCATTATGTTCGTGGTATTCGTCGAGTCTTTGTCGTGGAGAAGGATGATACGCTTCTACTGAGGGTAGATGGTGTCAATATTCTTGTGAGTAATGCACTAGGTATTTTTTTCTGCCTCACACAATAAATGTCTTTATAATATACCATGTTGACAACCAAACCCATTCTCTTAAATTGATTGTTCTGGAAAATATAGAAATGGTAGTACTACTCTGAGAATGTTTTTTTAAGGGGATTATCCCACCCGGGCACAGGTCAATGACCCACATCAGGGCCTGGGGGGCGAAGATATATAATATTAATAATAATAATAATAATAAAATACAAATAAAAAATACCTGAGAAAGGCATAAATACTGCAAATGAAGAGGAAATATTGTGAGACTGACACTGAAAGGTATTGTGCGAGAGAGAAGTGTGATGGCTGCCAGTGATTTTGACATTATTATAAGTTTCTGCTTTTCAATTCCTTTTTATGAGTAGATTCCACTGTAAAACTTTAATATCTGTTGCTTATTGTTCTCTGGGTCACAAATAATGGTGGTTCCAATTCCTTATTTTCACACAACACTGGTCACCATAAGTAACACACAACACTGGTCACCATAAGTAACACACAACACTGGTCACCATAAGTAACACACAACACTGGTCACCATAAGTAACACACAACACTGGTCACCATAAGTAACACACAACATTGGTCACCACAGATAATACAGAAGTACAGTTTTAGTAATACAAACAAGTTGGTATAAGTGTGGCAACCTAATCTAATCTAACATATCATAACTTGAGACTTACTTGACCTATTCTATCTTAACCTAACACTAAATGGTGTTTGTTGTTGTGTGTTGCAGAAAATGTTTCAGTATGAGCACATGCTGAATGTGAACTGCCTGTACACCAACAACATACACCAGGTAGCTGAGATATACGGCATTGAGGCTGCTCAGCGTTCCATCATCAGAGAGCTGCGAGCTGTACAGTCTGTGTATGATATCAAGGTAAAACTTTGCCTCCACAGTTAATAGTACAGTATGACATGTTGATATTAGTATAAACTCTTGTCAAAAACTATTAATTTGGTTCATTTCCCAGCTAATATATATTTTATATCATCCACAGGAAATCTTGTCAAAGTTTGGCTCATGCTTAGAATATTTTGGGCCCAAAACTAAACATTGGTTCTTGGGATATATTTTGTTTATCTGGTGGAGAGAATTGCTGCTTGTAGTGAGTTGTACATTATGTCTACCTGGATAATGTGACCTGCTGTTACTCCTAGATATACCTTCACTCAGAGGTGCTCAGGGGGTATCACATGTTAACATTTTAGCTTTCTTCCTGGCCCACAAAATGCTTCACTAATACTGTAAGTCTTCTCACTAGGTTGACTTCCGCCACTTGACTCTCCTGGCTGAATACTTCACTTGTGAGGGGAGATACAAAGCTTGTTCTCGGCAAGCGTTAAACACCTCTCTTTCACCACTACAGAAGATGTCTTTTGAATCATGTACAGACTTCCTTAAGTCTGCCCTCTTAAGAGGTAAGTTCTTGGAGTACCTCTGTAGAGAATGTTATAGTAGCAAAAGAGGAAAGGGTTGTATTTTACCTGTATATACAGTAATACACACTGAACCATAATGTTTACCTGTATATACAGTAATACACACTGAACCATAATGTTTACCTGTATATACAGTAATACACACTGAACCATAATGTTTACCTGTATATACAGTAATACACACTGAACCATAATGTTTACCTGTATATACAGTAATACACACTGAACCATAATGTTTACCTGTATATACAGTAATACACACTGAACCATAATGTTTACCTGTATATACAGTAATACACACTGAACCATAATGTTTACCTGTTTATACAGTAATACACACTGAACCATAATGTAATAAAGAAATATGTCAATAGAAAGGTATTTGATAGGCATGAATATGTGACTTAATTTAACATTTATATATTTTTTTTTCCAGGAGAGAAAGATTATATGACATCTCCCTCTGCCAATGTTGCTGTGGGACAACCAGTAAAGTTAGGTACAAATGCAATGCAAATGTTGCCTGTCCTAAACTTCTCCTAACGTACCGACCTTGTAGACATTTGTGAAGATTAAAATGTATTGAAATTTTTTTCAAGAAGAATATCATGGTTATTAGTTGTATAAGAAAGATATTAATGAGTTCATATTGACCTCATAAGTGTACACATTAGTTAAGCTGGATCATTTGTTGTGGAGGTTTATATCACTAACTTTTTCAGCTTAATGCTTTATCCTCAGTACTTCATACCCACAGGCTACCTCAGCACATGACACTTCCAACCATTGTCTTTACACACACACACACACACACACACACACACACACACACACACACACACGAGTCACTACACCACGTGACCTCACACAGTATAGCAAGAGACCGGCCCGGACCATCAACTATAATAATTTGTATGTTCAGTTCATGTTCCTTCTCCTTGTAGTACTGAAAGCCTTTGTTAAACGACCCACCCACCCATGTCTTTGTATGTAATAGGTAATTTTTGTCTAATATATATTTTCTGCCTTTGGGCTGCTGAACTTTCTCAATAAACCGTTAGTTAATTACTATTACAGGGATATCTCCGTTAGCCGGAACAATTGGTGCAGAGCACTTCCGGGAATGAGAGATTTTCGGGTAACTAGACGACTCTCTCAAAGCTGGGAAAAATCCTTCCTCCCTGGAATTTTCCGGGTAACGGAAATTTTTTTTTCAGAATTTCCAGAAAATGAGCTTGATTTTCATCTCTCAAGCCCGGAAAAAAACCATCCCCCATCCCTGGAATTTTCCGGGTTTCAGGAAAATGTTCTCAGAATTTTCCAGAAAATGTGCCCCTCGGGAAATCGTTCCCAAAGGCGGAATTTTCCGGAAAATTCCAGCTTTGGGAACGATTTTCTGAGAAAATTTCAATTCCGGCTATCGGAGAGTTCCGGGTTTGAGGGATTCTGGCTAACGGAGATATTACTGTATTATTATTATTATTATTATTATTATTATTATTATTATTATTATTATTACACACACACACACACACACAAATACATACATATACTGTACATGTATTATATACACACACACACAGACGATCATTCCTTCCTGGAAACAAGCCCACGACTTATAATGATCCACAGTGGAGGTACAGCGGCTGGTAGGAGTAAGAGATTGTCTTGTAATGAAGTAAAATGAAGAGTTAGATTTAGGTTTATAAAAAATATACAGTGTGACAGATGGAGGAAGTTTCAGTAATATGGGATGTTATAAGTTGACCTGGAACATTGGTTTAAAAATCTAATGAAACTTATTAGAAATTGTTGATGAAACTTGAAATTTGTGAGTTAAGGAAAGTTGAGAATAATTGTAAGTCTTGTCTTTAAGTCATATATTGTGTAAGGAAATTTGCTTCTTTGTATCTGTGAAACTTATGTTTTGTACGAAGAATAAAGACAACTTGAGTCCATGTCATGTTTGTGTTTGTGTTAAATTCTTGGCATCCAGACTGGGTCGATAGAAGCTGAAACAAAATAAACTTGTAATATGACGATTTTACTGAAAGAATATTATTTATTTCTCTATATATTTTCAGGGAATTGTTTCAATAATTTTTGAAGACAAAATTATATTACCACAAGAGTGTGGATGTTCAGTGTCTGCTCTGAGGAGACTGTCAACATACCTGTACTGTACTGACACAGCTTATTGTTCTAGAGGAAATTTTTACTATACAGGGGTTCCCTGGGATACCTACGGGTTCCGTTCCCGAGGACGTTCGTAAGTCGGATTTGTACGTCAGTTGGAACACATACTATATGCATACTGTACTTACAAAACAATGTTCAAAATCCCACTACATCATAGCCTTTGTCCTTATATACATGTAAAATCACTTAATTTATGACAAGAATAGAAATAAAATGACGAAATACAATAAATGAAAGTAAAAAATAAGTCATCAAGTAAATAAAATACTTTCCTGTAAATTTTAAGTTTAACCTCGTTTGTATCGGCGGGCGTTCGTAAGTTGGACGTTCATAAATCGGGGACCCCCTGTACTGTAAAAAGAAAACAAAGTTGAAAATTTGATGCAAGACAACACAACACAACACACAATGCTTTAATCTTTTCTCTGAGCTGCAGGTAGTAGGCAGCTACCAAACAGGGAGGTACTACTGTCTGGGAAGATATTGGAAGCATAATGTGTTGTCTAATGGTAGTCCCTGCTGCCATATGTGACCAAGTCCCAGGTTGATAATCTGACTTGCTGCCTCATTTACACACAATTGTAGGGTCTATATTGTTTCTTACTTTAACAACACAACATAAATACCTTGTATATTGTTTCTCACTATTGATCTTTTTTTTTCTTAATGGTTCATTATTATAATTATCAGTGTTGCTATTATTATTATTAATGCTATTAAAGCTATTATTATTTAATTTTTAAATTTTTTATTATAAATTTTATTTACTATGAACTAATTATTATTAATATTATTATTATTACATTTTCGCCCCCCCAGTCGCCGATGTGGGTCAGTGACCTGTGCCCGGGTGGGCCAATCCTGTTTAAAAAAAAATAAAAAATGTGAATGAAACTTTTTGTTTTTGTTTTTTGTTTTTGTTTACGGGCATTAGCCCACCCGGCCACAGGTAATGACCCACATCAGGGCCTGGGGGGCGAAAATATAATAATAAATAATTATAATAATAATAATATCTATTATTATTATTATTACAACAATTAATAAAATTAATAGCAAATTAATACAAATAAAATAATAAAACTAATAAAAATAATAACCATAAAAAAATACAAAATTGAAAAAATAAGTCATGAGTGAGAATTTACAATAGAGACCAGATCAGCAACCTGGGACTTGGTCACATATGGCAAGCTAGGAGCTTGCTGGAGGAGGTGTTGCTTGTTCAGGAAAATGGGCAGAATGAGAGTTGGTTGGTGAGGAAGCTCAGAGGACGGCTGGTGGGTCGCCATGCTCGCTGGCGAGAGCGAGGACCGCCAGGCAGGCGAGGAGAAGCGAGGGGCTGCTAGGCAGCGGCGGAGGAGGAGGTGTTGCTTGTTCAAGAAGGTTGGTCAGAATGAATTCTCAATGGAGAGACAGAGCTTGTATACCCAGCAGCCGCTATGAGTCATGTTGGGAAAACCCGAGAAGTCGCCGGTCTTTTGGCTCGGTTGCTAGGATACGGCGACATTGGAATGCGGATACGCTTGGTTGCTAGGGAAGACGGTAACAGGTGGTGGCGTGACTACGCAGTTGTAAGCAGTTGTAGGGGAGACGTCCACTACAGTGTCTTCTCCCCCGGCGCCCAGTAAATGTTGCAACATCATAAGTATGCTGTACAGTAAACAGTCACATATTAATGGTTGAAAAATATTTGACCAAAAATATGACAAATCATTGATAAAGTCTTTGCCACGTGGACACATTTGAAGGTATCAATTGTTTCTCTTACTTGACAACACAATATACATACAGCGTTTCTCACTATTGACTTTTTTTTATAGTTTATTATTATTATTATTACAGTGTTATTATTATTATCATAAATTATTTTACTTTACTTTTTATTCTAAATTTTATTTACTATGAATAATTATTACATTTTCGCCCCAGGCCCCGAGTGGGTCAGTGACTAGTGCCCGGGTGAGTTAATCCCCGTAAAAAAAAAAACGCTTGTCAGTGATAATTTTTGGGGTAAAAAAATAATAAAAACAACCTTTAATTACACAGCAATTTACTGACTAAGAATGGTGTATGGGAGATGCAACAATTATATACACGAATTTAATGGTTTATACTGCAAGTTAGAGATATGGTTAAACATTACACTATGCTCCCTCCTGTAAACACAAATTAATTCATTACAGTAATGTATCGGCATAATATCTATTCCATTTATCAATAGATATTGCCTGATGCAATGGTGACACACCACAATGTAATACAGTACCGCAGTATTTCAGTGCTGTAATTCTAATTTCATATATACTGCATGTACGCTGAACTCGGAGCACCATTAAACAAGAACAAACACTTGTCACAAGAAACTCTCTTCACACTGATATTATGATATAGTACTGTACAGTACACTATAGTATACGACTACGAGACATGTGTACATTACACCAGAAGATTAACGCATTAAGCCCCACTATATGTATCAATAATGCTCTTACACCTTTATGTACTGTACTCAGTTTAGTACTTATGGAGGTACCGGGTAATCACTTATTTTGTTCGCTGTCACGTGTTTTTTCTTCACAATTCACGTGTTAAGTAAAATATTAGTTCATCAAGATAGCGAACAAAATGATAAAATTATTAAAGTAATGGCATGTCTGATATTTGTGTAATTAAAAGCTTTACACATTATTCAACTAGTAGTGTTTCTGTACGAATATTATTTAACAATATTAATAAGGTGTAGTAAGTCTAGTAATACTTTTGTTTTGACTTAACAGGAGTTATATGATCGTACATTTCTTTGTTAAAGTCTTATATAGTGTGGAATACAGTAATAAATAATCTTTCACTTTTATCCTCTTCACCACTGATCGGCTTGTTAGCCGCTTGGGCGATCGGTCACGTCTCTGATTACTTTTCCTTTTCATTTATCTTCTTCACCAAAAAATCGGCTCGCTAGCCGCCCGGGCGATCGGTCACGTCTCTGTCACGCACTATTGGGAAATACTGGGCATGCACCGGCTCCTGAATGTACCTGAACCCGCTCCAGTGTTGGTCAAGTCTTCTCTTGAAAGAGCTCACACTCGGTGCCGTCACAACACTCTCTGGTAGATTGTTCCAAGAGTTTACAACCCTCACTCCGAAAAAGTTTGCCCTCACAGTTTTCTGGACTTGCGGCTTCTTCAATCTTGAACTGTGACCCCTTGTGGGGCGAGCGTCCGCCAGCTCCAAGTAAGGACACTCAACTGAGTAGTGCCCCTAAGGTGCTTATACACCCTCAACTAGGTCCCCTTGCCCGTCTGTAGTATAAGCTAGGCAAGTTCAGGCGCCCAATCTCTCAGGGTAGCTGAGGTGCCGAAGTGCAGGCACCAGTCTGGTGGCCCTCCTTTGAACATTTTCAACCAACTGACAGTCCCTAGCATATCTCGGGGACCAGATGGGGTGACAGTACTCCAGATGGGGAAGCACTTCACTCCTGAAGATCGTTACGAGGGACGGACCGTCTAGATATCTGAACGACCTTCTTATAATACCCAATAATTTATTTGCCCCTCGTGTAACGAGGATGGCCGGCCAAAGGCCACCTTTGAGAATCTGGTGAAAGCTATGGACCCCCCTAGAAAAATGCACATAAACACAACTTTGCATGCAATGAATATATATTGAAAAAAAATATAGTGAATATAAATGTTAAATTTTTATCTGACCTTCACGGACCTCCTGAAGCCCATCCATGGACCCCTTGGGGGTCCATGGACCCCAGGTTAAGAACCCCCTGGAACTTTAAGGTGTAGAAGC